TCAGTCGAGCCGAAGGCATATGCCTCGGCTCGACTGAGCCGCACTGAAAGCCGAAGCTGGCCGAATGGCCGGCCGACAGCCTGCTTCTGACAGCTGGGCGGAGCCAGCGTCATCTCACGGCAGAGAGATCAGCGTCCCTGGTTACCAGCTAACCAGGGACACTGATCTCCAGACAGCAAACTCTCCCGGGCGCTGCAGGTATCTCCCGCTCCCGGCCGCCCAGGAGAGAAACACAGTTGGGAAAAGCTAGCTGTCACTGCTAGCTCTGCACAATCGTTTTCTATTAACTTTTTTGTACTTTATTCACTCTTTTTCTGTTCTGCTCGGTGCCTCTGAGGGACCGAGCAGAACAGCCGAGCCAAATGCCGCTCGGCGGCATTCGGCTATTCACTCACTGCTGTTCGGGATCTTTCAGAATAGCCCGAACAGCAGTGAGAAGCCTGCCGGAGGTTCGGCTCAGCCGATCCAGATGTTGGATCGGCTGAGTCGAACTCCTTCTGCACTTCGGGTCAGCCGAACATGCTGAGCATGTTCGGCCGACCAGAAGCCACACGAAGCCACCCAATGTACGGCTGATTTCAGCCGATATACGACTGAAATCAGCCGTACCAGCCTGAAGTGAATAGCCAAACAGTGTTCGGCTCACTTCGCTTCAGGTCGGTCGTTCACTCGGCTGCCTACGGCAGCTTAGTGAATAGACCGCTAATGTCTTTGATTTCAGGACTATGCCCTGCCACCTGCCATTTCCTTTTTCAATGACCTTTTCTGACCAGGTTCAGAGTAGTGGTATTGTTGGATCGGCTGAGTCGAACTCCTTCTGCACTTCGGGTCAGCCGAACATGCAGAGCATGTTCGGCTGATCCGAAGCCACACGAAGCAAGCCGATGTACGGCTGATTTCAGCCGATGTACGGCTGAAATCAGCCGTACCAGCCTGAAGTGAATAGCCGAACAGTGTTCGGCTCACTTCACTTCTGATCGGTCATTCACTCGGCTGCCCTTGGCAGCTTTGTGAATAGACCCCCTTAGTCTTACACCTTTGGTTGCACTACGTTTCATTTTTTTGTGTGATTATTTTACATTTTTTGGTCTAATGTGTTTGGTTTATTACTTTTCTAAACACTGATCTCATATGAACCAAAAGCAATGCATTAATTTTTTTAATAAAAATAAAGTTAAAGGTGTGTACCTGCAAGTACAGAAAAATACCTGTTGATCTGCTAGAAATGCAGTCAGCTCCCAAGTCCTGTTGTAGGTTGACAACACACAGCATTTCTGTGGACCGAGTGGTGTCAGCACTGCACAATTGTCTTTTGCTAAACAACTCAGATTCACCCACCTCTACAACGTAAAGGCTAATAATTCTGTAATTCTAATATAAGAACTGGGAGAGATAACTAGACATGTGCGATTTGTTTCGTTCCGAATCAAAATTCGGACGAATATTCAAAAATTCGAACATTCAGACACATCTGAATTTCCGAATCCCAATGCATCCGAATTTGAATTTTCGGTTTCTGAATTTGTATCCTGCCCAAATTATGTACAAAAACTAAACTGAAACGGACATGTGACTTTTTTGGCCAATCAGTTGTGTTTTTCGGTTTAATGCATCCGAATGGGTCTGAACACGAAAATTTGTGTTCAGTATATACATATTAATACGAACGCTGAGCCTCCTAGACCTGAATGGCATTCGGAATCTGAATTTCCGAATTCAATTCGGAACCTGAATGTTATTCGGATCTGGGAGCCATATACATATATTACTGAAGCTGAGGCTCCCAGACCAGAATTCAGATCCTGAATGCCATTTGTATATGGTTTTCTGTTTTACTCGCAACGAATATTCTTAAACTCATCCGAAACTAAAGAAATTTGGATTTTATTTGTATCCGAAACCCGAATTGAACTTCGGATCTGAATTCTGAAATAATGAAATTTTTAAACCGAACCAAATTTTTGCCCCATTTTACATGTCTAGAGCTTACTACTCTCCCTGAGATACCACAGAAAGTATGATTAGCATAACTCTGAATTTCTAACATGATCAACAGGTATTTTTTTGCACTTATCGAGCAAATGTAACAAAACACTGTCAATGGTATATTTAACAGACCAAAATAGTGCAAATAAAAGCTGCTCATTGTTAAAGTTATATAGACAGGGCCGGATTTACTCTCCCTGCTGCCCCAAGGCCAGGTTCCGCGATCACCTAACTTTATTGCTATCACACAGAAGAAAACAATCCCCTGTGTGATAGTAATTGGAGGTGACAGGTTCTCTTTATTGACCCTGTCACCTCCAATACAGGAGTTCTAGCACAGCACTGTGCTGGAACTTCTGTGACAGGTGAGAGAGGAAGAGTACAGCACAGCACAGCACAGCTCTCCCCTATCACGGTGTACATGGAGCGGCAGGGTTACTTTTAACCCTGCCGCTCACTGCAGTGAGGAGACGGACTCGGCGGCGGAGCCCGGGGGTCGGAACCAGAGGAGAGAGGTAAGTGCAGGGGGGAGGGGAGGAGGCTGCAGACTGTTTACATGTGATCTCAGCGACATCGCCGAGTTCACATGTAAACGAACAATCGGCTGCCTCACTCTACATTTAGTCCTGCTTGTGCAAAGCAGGACTGAATGTAGAGAGGGCAACTTCCCCACAAGGACACTGCTGCCGCCACTCTGCGCCCTGCCGCCCCGAGGCCGGGCCTCGGTGGCCTTGTGGGGAATCCGGGCCTGTATATAGACTTTAAAATAGGCAGCTATATGTCCTACAATACAGTGAGCACTATACCCAGCGTGCCTGAGCCTATCATCATGGTCATTGATAAAGCGATCATAGGCATTTTTTCCATGTTGTGTAAAGTGCTGTGGACACAGCTTCATAAGAGCCCATCTCCATTCCTTTATTTAAGTGTCCATATCTGTAATCTTTCCAGCTCCATAATATCCTTACCATAAACTCATGCCACTGTGGAACTATCAAGGATATGTAATGATGGGAAATTATATTCTTGTTTAAACATCAATATCCCTTTTCACAGATGAGGTCACACTGATCTTTGCTGCTCCTTATAGATATTAAGCACTCTAGTCAACCAACAAGCCCAAATGTACATTCTTGTATTTGTGTTGGTGCATGCTGCTAACTATTGTGTTGTATACGTTACAGGGAGATCTGTCATACAAAGAAAATGAGTGACTCTTCAAGTAGTAAAGGAAGAATAAACCTGATGGCCAGGAGCTGGCACATCCATTTCTGGGACAGGAAATGGAAGGAAATCTTACCAAACGGAGCACAACAATGAAAACATGTCAGTGTCTCTAACCTCTTATCACTCTGACTAAAACAAAGTTTTCACTGGAGTCCTGCTATAATATATATATATAGTATATATAATTATACCCAAAATAAAATGGTTTGTTTTGGGTTACATTGGACTAGAATTAAAAAATCAACAGTTGAATATAAAGCACAGGAACCTTATTTCAGTGTAGCAATATTTGCAATGGGTTAGCAATACTGCAGCCATGTATATTCATTGTGCATCAAGAGTTGAATGTGTATATGTTGCAGAAATGTATTATTACTTTGTATTTAAACAAGGTTGAGCCAAACACACAGGACTTCATGCATTGTACACTAAAAATATACCACCCCTTCTAAAACTATTTCCATTAATTAGTGGCCTCTCAATGTCATGGGCCAAAACTCTTAAAACCTAAATAAAAAAAAAAGGCAAAATAACTGTATAATGACATCTAAGACCACATGCCAATGCCTACCAGCTGGCAGATAGATAAAACAACCAGGAATTGAATTGATGTTTGTAATTGTTCACGTCTGGACATTTGCAGAGGTTCTTTTTGTGTGCCTGCAGATGGAAATGACGCAGACAGTCTTGTTAATGTAGCACATATTCTTGCATTAAAGAACAACATCCATCATCTCATAGAAATTTAATTAAAATCTTGGTCCCCGTCCTAAAAGCTCAAGCCAAATGGCTGCTGGAAATATGGCCCTTGGACCATCGCAATGTCCTTAATGGCTGTTTCGCTGAGGAAGCCAAAACGCAGTAATCACCTGTTTGGGATTTCAATTTAGACGGTGCATTAAAAGCCAGAACATGTGTAATCTTAAAGTTAGGTATTTGTCATTAATTTAATGCAAGCTGTCACCACAATGTGTTGTGCAGCGAGGAGAAGGCTTTAGTGATAACCGAACACAAATGTCCTGAGCAAGCATTTTTGAAGGAAATCAGATTTATTAACACCGCTGAATGAGCCAGTGAACGTGGAAACATAGGAATAAGTATAAAGACTTTCCTAATGAATAATTCATCAGTCTCAGCTGAAAACTCATCAGAGGTAGTCTGGCCATGATCAGATCAAGTCTTCTAAAGATTCAACAAAGTTGGGTAAAAATGGTCAGAGACAGGCTAACCTATTTGGTGTTATGTGACTCTTGCAGTTTTAGTATAATTGGGTTCAGTTGTACTGCTATGGCATGGGAAGGTATTATACTTTCAGCCTCTATGGCCAGAGTAGGAGATAAACAGACATGGATTTCACTGTTGGTTTCCACCTTATGTTCGCACACGGTTCCATGCTGGCACTGGAAGTGACAGAATCGATACCATTATGCTGTTGTGCCACCACTTCATGCCATAGAAAGTGTTCCCCAGATCCCGACTGAGATTATTCACAAAAGGGTGAAGGGCAGGAGAAGGGAAACAATCAAGGACAACATAGCTGATTTGGAAACATTTTCCAATTCAGTGCACTTTCCAGTTCAGCTATGTTGTCACTTGTTCACAGATTGATTGTTCACTTCTCCTGCCTTCTCCAAACTCTTCACCCTTTTGTGAATAGCCCTGTAAGTATCTAAAATATGAAGAATTCTGACCGCAGAGAAATAATGTTAATAGTAAAGCACATTGATTAGTGCTAAGGATTTGTATTATTACTCAGGATTTAATGCATATAAAGACCACAGTTTGCACAGCAGAAAATAAGGAGAGACAGTGCAGTTACAAAACAGTTCAACACAAGAGGGTGAGGAGGGCCCTGCTCATGAGAGTTTACAATCAAAAAGTGAAGGGTACATTATACAAAAGGTAATAGCTGTGAGAGGATCAGTTCATGGAGACAGTTCAGTTTTTTGGTAGAGGCAACATAGGCTTCTCTGAAGTGATATGTTTTCAGGGATCATCTAAAGGTGGACTGAGTATGGGAGGAGGTAATGAGGTACCTTAAGAGGTGACTTGTGGGTGGCTTTATGTTTTTGCTCATATTTTAAATTGTATTCATTGGGTGATCAGAAGCCAGTGGAGGGATGGGCAGAGAGGGGTGGGGGAAAACTGAAAGGTTGGTGAGGTGCTTGAGTCTGGCAGCAGCATTCGTGATGGATTGATGGCGGAATAGACTGCATAGAGCAGGAAATATTATCAGCTCAGTTTTGGAACAATTGAGTTTTAGAAAGTAGTGTGACATCAATACTGATATGTCAGTTAGTAAATTAGTGATGTGCAAGGTGATGATGGGTCGAGATATTTGGGTGTCCTCATAAAGATAGTATTGACATCTATGTTAGGCTTAACTGACCAAGGGTATATATTGAGAATAGAAGGGGTCCAGGAACAGAACCTTTGGGGGACACCAACGGAAAGTGGAAGAGAAGATGGAATTGTAGGCTACAGTGAAGGTGTGCTTAGATAGTAGCAGAACCAGGAAAGAGCACAGTTTTGGAGGCCAAGGGAGTAAAGTTTTTTGAGGTGCACGGAACAGTTGGTCAACTATCAAAGGCAGCAGAAAGGTTTAATAGTATGATTATAGAGTGGTGATCATAACCAGGTGTCTTACCCAATGGAAATATGCAAGTCTGCAAACATAACCACCCATAGTCTTTGTTAGAGGGTTACTTAAAGTGCAACTAAAGCCAAACCTTTCTTTTTAGTTTTGGATAGAGTGATGAGGGATTAGAACCCCTGTCTCTGTCCCGCTTAGGGAGATTCATCCTCTCTATTTGCCATGGTTACTGTTCTTACTGAATGTAAAAGAAAATCCCAAAATTTGGGTTGTGATCAGAATAGGAATAGATGGGAAATGTTCCAATGGGAAAACTAGTTCTGGTGACTTTGCTGAAAGAAGTATTTACTCACACTTCTTGTTGTGGCTATTGGATAGGAAAGGAAGGGGAATTGCCCCAATGAGACACCCATGGCAAAAAGAGCTGACAGGGGTTATAACCCTGCCTTTGGTCTTTCACTTGTCTGGCACTAACAGGAGAAAGTTTACACAAATTTTTCTAAATAATACTGCTGTCCATCTACTTTTATTCTCCCATCCATCTCCGCCTCAGACACCTGCTAGAGATGGTTTTGAGATGGGGCTCCGCTCCCTCTAATTTTTTTAAGAGTTGTACTGTGCTCATGCTATTTTGGAATAACATTTTTCAGGTGTATCAGAATATGTGCCTTACAGACTTATGGGTATAGAGATGGCCTTATTGTCTAGGGTCCAAGATTCCATTTTATATTCTAAAAGAGAACACTTTGGCACTGCTAATAGAAATCTCCTGATCCCCCACCTTGATTGGACCAGAATTCTCAATGACATCCAAAGAAATCAGAACCTGGTAGCATCTTACAATAATAACAATTAATGCTTCATAGTCCTGTTGGATAGTGGTTAAATATTTCCTTTTCTTTAAAGTTCTGATATGTTCTTCTTTTACTTTTTGTTCTTGTTTTTAAGGAAGCCTCCAGCCTTCTCCCTTCAATGTACCCGCCCTGCTGGAAACTAATATAGCATATTTTCAGGCTAACTAATTGGGAACTCAGTCTACCCAAAACAAGAATTCCCACACATAACTCCGATTTTCCCCCCAAAAAAGGTAGCCGTATGCCATCAACAAAACCTGGATTAGAAATTACTGGATTAGATGAAAACCCCAGGCCTTTGTTGGTCACAAAGTAAGGCAAAACCTCAGGTGGTGTCCTCTAGGGGAAAGAAGTATTAGATTCCCACCGGCCAAACGCTCAGTTTTCTTTCTACTACTAAGTACACAAGACCATCATCCTTGTACTCTTAGGGGTTTATTCACTAAGCTGCCATAGGCAGCGAGTGAAAGACCGACCTGAAGTGAAGTGAGCCGAACGCTGTTCGGCTATTCACTTCAGGCTTGTATGGCTGATTTCAGCCGTATATCGGTGCCGACCCGTAGTGCAGAAGGAGTTCGACTCAGCCGATCCAACATCTGGATCGGCTAAGCCGAACCTCCAGCAGGCTAGTCCGCTGCTGTTCGGTCTATTCTTATAGATGCCGAACAGCAGTGAGTGAATAGCCGAATACCACTCACATAAAAAGTCCCAAAAAAATAAATAGAAAACCATTGTGCGGAGATTGCAATCCTATGGGGCAATTTTTTTTCTTTTCTATTCTGACATGGCTCCGTGTCACAATCAAGAAAAAAAAAAGAAACAGCAGTGTTTCTCTCCTGGGTGGCCGGGAGCGGGAGACTCCCAGAGCGCCCAGGAGAGTTTTTTTTCCTTTTCTTTTTTTTTTGACGGGAGCAGAACCGCCTGCCAATAGAAAAAATATTGGGTGGAGCTAGCTGTCATTGCTAGCTCTGTACAATGGTTTTCTATTTATGTTTTTGGACTTTTTAAACTATTTTTCTGTTCTGCTCGGTCTCGAGCCCGGACGGGGATCAGCAAGGAGCTGATCTCCCGTCCTCCTCCTCCTGACGCCCTCGGAGCCGGTCCCGGGATCCAAGATGGGGCAGCGGATCCCGGGAATCAAGGTGAGGGGTCAGGGGGAAAAAAAAAAAAAAAAAAAAAACCGGAAGCGCCGAGCGGGCGCGGGGGGGGGGGGGATGGGTGCCGCGAACGAGCACATATAGGCGATCGGCGGGCTATGGACCCGCTGATCGCCTATATGTGTAACACCCGGTAACGGGTGTGTTTAATCGTCGGGTCTTTTCTGCCCGTGCGTGCCCGCAAGGGGGGCGCGCGCGAGCAGAAAATAATTGCCGTCTGGAGACGGCAACCCGCAAATGCAGCAGTGCCGTCCGTCCGTTTTTTTACTACGGGCGGACGGCAAGAGGTTAAAGCAAAAAAAAAAAAAATGGTTTGGCTTTACTTCTCTTTTAAAGCTGGAAATCCATTTGCTATATTATTATACAGGATTTATATAGCGCCAACAGTTTGAGCAGCGCTTTACAATATGCAATTAAATATGATACAGGAATTGACTCTTTATTTAACCAGTATCTGGATGACCACAAATAAGAATGAAAACATCACAAAAAAAAAAGTTTTTTCCCCCCAATATTTATTTTTATTTATAAACAAACATTTACTATAAAAGCTGTTGCATTAAGAATGTTTTTTTCCAACTAATTTCCAATGGACTAGTTAACTGAAAAGCACATTGGAAACCCCACTGGACATTGTTCCTTTGTTAAGGCAATATACACCAAACTAGAATAATCGCACAACGGACAAAGATTAACACAGGACTCTTCATCATCTCTGCAACTGTAAAAGGAGAAAACACAGTAGCTAAAAGCAACACTAAGCATTTTATAACATTTCCAGCAGGACTCTTCTATTGCTTCATCCAAGCGGCTTGTTGGTAATTAAAGAATAAATAAAATCCACACCACCGGAAAAAAAAAATCACTGAGAAAGTTAGTACTCAACACTAACTTGTTACAGAAGTGATTCATTCTTTCACTGTCACGGGGTCATCAAAGATTGCACAGCAACACACATTGTTAGCAAAATATACAACAGAACCCCACACACGATCCCCATATAAGACTAGTAGTATATTTATGCTTTAATGCAGTGCTGAGGACACTAGTTATGAGACAGTCTAATATTCCTTAAAGTGTACCTGGCAGTCATCACAAGGAAGGCAACCATTCTGATGGCTCAATGCCTACTTTGTAATTCGACCTATCTGTTCAATAGTAATCAATGACAATACCAGGTGTGTCACTTGTTCTCAGTGAATAAATCCATCAATTAGCTGTGATGTCACTATTTCCTAGTGAATTAATAGGCTAAACACTGGCTCAACAGGTGCTGTGTGGAAAGGGGTCACAGCTGTTGTATGGGCAACCAGTCTAAAGAGGCAGCTGTAAACATCAAAAGCCAAGCAAATGTTATGAATCCCATTTGCACTGAAGGTACATCACAACCATTTTGGAATTCAACCGGAAAAATGGCTGCCTCCTCCTGTTTCCTTAAAGAGAAAACCTGTAGACACATCCATATGCCAAGTAGTCAGTAGAGATGTTAAAAAAACATGGAGGGATTTTTCATGTCAGATGCAGTGTGAACTCAGAAACTATTTAGCATGGATGACATCTGGGATGAATTTGTCAATGGTTTTGGACCCCTGCATCATAAGATGATCTGGAGGTTTTGAAATCTGTCTGCAGTACACCTACAAATATGTATAAATTTACCAATCAGAAAAAAGCTTCACCTTAGACTGATCAGAGTCATGTTTTAAACAATGAGAATATTACTTCTGGCCACTAGATGGGGAGAATTATAAAAGAAGGTTTTCACCAACAGTTGATACAAAACCACCCGCTGCTCCTGTTATCCACGGGATCTACATGCAATATTTTTGTTAAATTACCCCGTGTCCATATTTAGTGCTGGTGACTAAATTGAAGAATGTGAATCCCAGTATTCTAAAGATGCCACTCATTTCAACAGAGCTTGTATGCAGATATCAATATTATAACCCCTCTGAAATAAAAAGCTCAGATGGGGCAGTGAATTCTTAGTATGTATTTGCAATGATACAGATGATTTTATTATACTTAAAAAATTCTGGTTATAAAACAAAAAATCAGTATTATCATGTCAGTGTTGTGCAAAGCTAGAGCATCGTATAAAGTATTTGCAGACACCATGCAGAGTGTGTAAACATTATAGTCATGAACCCATGATCCATGCAAGCACATCAGCAAAGTGTACAATAGCAAAACAAACTAGTCACTATAAAATGTATAGAGCTAAACAGACTCTATGTTGCCTCCCTAATTACCTTCCTCATGTTGTAGCTTTATTGCATTTGTATGTTGCACACACAAGGATGTGCAACAATGTTGCATTTAAGGCACCATTTTGTATGTTATAATGTATATAATTAGTATGTTTGATGTAACAGAACCATATAGGGTCAATACATGGAAAAGGGACACTTCCAGCGATTACTAAATACATGCAAAAAAAAATAACACTAGTGCTTAAATAAATACCTTCTAGCTTAATGTGAACTTGTTACCCAAGCACAACTGAGCAGACATTTTGTAGGCTGGCATATATTTTAGAGAACGTAATGTGCCAATTTACTTTGCACATCCTCATGCCACCGGTTTTTCCACAACTGACCAGATGAAAAATGGCTGGACCTACACAACTGCTCAATTTGTAAAGGATGACAAGTACCCTTAAAGGAGATGTAGTAACATATTATTGCTTATACAATGGAAACATTTATACTTTTGTAACTCTTAGAAACAGACACACTAAGGTGTCACCTGTGAGTTGGTTGTCACTAGTGACATGGCTACACAGGTTAACATGTCAAGCTATGGGTACCCCATTCCATGAGATGGAACCAAGGGACCAAGCAATCTTATTTCAATGCACCCGTCTTCTCAGCAACAAAGAAAATGGATTGTGTCAACCAAAAAGGGCTCAGCTTTTCCAGAAAACATTCATGTGGTTTATCAGCTAGCTGCAGATATCACAGTGAGTAGAATATGAATAGGACATTCTACTCCCCCGATCCATCAGTGTGAAGAGCTGCTTAACCCTGCTTTTTTCTAAGACAAACCCTCAGTGGGCCACTGCTTTTAGACCCCAAAATATAGCACTCTTACTAAACGCAGTCCAATGAATATATAATAAACTGAAAACTCCAAGAATGAATTCTGGGACCCCATTTGAATTCTGACCCACAAGAAGCACAAAGCTGGAGTTTCTCAATATTCTACAAAGTAAATCTACACTACGAGTTTACAAAATGCCAGATGCAGAATGTGATCCTATCTGTCACAACAGCATTGTTCCACATCACTAATAGTGCACTTGTTCATTAAGGGACCCAATCTGTGGTGTGCAGACATTCTTTAAGTGTTGTGCAAAGTCTAAGAGATTAGACTAAATCAACCAGAGCTTAGTTGTGCCAAACCCATCGTTCGTTACAAATAATATGAACTAAAAATCCTGGCCTCAGCACTCGATGGACAAATTACACACAAAAAAATGTACAGCTGTTCACTGTGGAACCGCACCATCTTGTGCCGCTAGGGAAAATTGCAGCAGAGCAATTTTTCAGATTTTCTCAAAGCACAGCTTGTGCAGGAAACACTTAGGCCAATTTATTTTAGTAGCACGCACATGAAATACTCCACACTACATACTGCAACATTTTATGTGATGTTATTCTAGCTCGTTTTCTTAAAAATTTGAAGAACTTGTTGACTTAACATTAGAGTGTTTAATCTTTATTAATGATATTTAAAATCTATGGCATTACTTGGTAACATCATGATACACAGGGCTTGCCTACAACTGCTAAGATGCCCATGAAAAGCAAAGGCCACCAGTGAGCACAAGCTGGGATGTCCGTTCCCCAGGAACAGATAGAGTTGTCTTCACAGCCATTTAAAGCAATATGCACAGTGTGGTACGTGTAAGCATATCGGTGTTTGCTGGTTATGTTTGCTGTAGCTTGTGCATAAGATGAAGCCCTATAATTAGAACAAGTACAAATTGACCGCACCATTAATTTTTTAGGTTGAATTGAAAGAGGCACATCAGAACATGTAGCACAAAACACACTTTCAGGACACACTTGCTTTAAGTCTTGCCGTAGTTTTCAGGCTGTTCGGAAACCAGGGTTTGACTTCAACTCTTCTTGGCAAATAAACAATACTCCTCTGTGCTGTTCCACAGATTTAATCTACCATATTCTTTCTGCATATGAAATATGAAGCAAATCATGTAGTATGCTAGTAGTAAGCACCACACACAGTGCTCCTCTCTCCACACGAGATGAGTGTCCGGGTCTCTGCAGGTAAAAGTGATTGTCTGGAGTCCGCCCACACGGGAGGGGAGCTCCGCCTTTCCAAATGCTCTTCATGGCAGCTGATGAAGTCACAATGGTGTAGGGTGTCCAGCCGCTAAAGGAAATGACATGAAAAACGTTGTCATCGGGCATGCTTGAAACAAATGTATATATCCCTCAACTGTTCTCCACATGAGTGCACTCGGGTAGGCAAAATTACCCCAGTATCAAAGACCAGTGGGTGTTTTTGAACTACTAATTACCAGGCTTAGGTTAGAACTTAGAAAGCACAGCAGACTTCATTTTAAAGGTGCAAGTTCCAGTTCTGCCATGTTTATCCTTTCCCCTATCTGGTGAGTCACTGACATTAAAAACAAACCTATGTATCAGGTGTCAGGACATCTGATATACACATTTATTCCAGGGTCAGAGACTTACTAATCGATAAAACAAGGATAAGGTTACCAGTCACGAAGCCTGCGCCTTTGATACAGGTCAGTAGTGATAGCTTCCACGTTCTGTTTGCTGTTTACATTCACGTGACTGCAATAAACATTTCACATGATGTCGGAGTACATCAACCAATGCCCAAACACCCGCTGTGGTCTATTCTATTGGAGCTCTTTCAGCAGGGGGCAGCAATAATAATAACAAAGAAAAAAATCAGGGACTACAAGGCCTTAAACAAAGCAATTCACATTCAGCGCGATAAGAAACAGATGGGGGATTTCTACTTCAAGTGGAAATCCACCGCAATGTACTTGTGTGTGCTGGCAGCACATAAAACAGCACATATAATTATTTATGTATGTTGGGATATTTGAATAGTGCTTCTCATCGAGCAGTTTGCAACATCGTATTGGAAACCAAGAAGATAAATGCCAAAAATAGGAGTAAAAGTGAGGGAAGAAGCCAGAATCTGCATCACAATGTGTTTTACAAGGAAGGAGGGAGATGTAGGTTACGTGTACACCTGTGTTTTGTCTTTACAGAGGGATCTCATCTGGGTTTCCATGTATATCATGGAGCAGAAACAACAACAAACAAGTTCTAATAAAATGACATGGAGAACTACAAAGATATTGTTAATATGAGCGAAAAAAACTCACTTCTAGATCTGACGTAACAATCATTACAGTTTAATAGACCATTGCGAATCCTGACATCCGTTCCTGTCGTTGCGTCACCAAGTTGTCCCTTACAAACCCCACACTAAACAGAAACAGAGAGCATTAAGGATAAGATAAATATTAGTTACTTATAATAAAGAAGAAGTTTAAAGAGAACCTGTAATGAGAGAAATATGTAACATTGCTCATCTCCCTCACAAAACAGTCCTTTGGCTGTTTCTAACTCAATACTTTAAGTCACTGACCCAAAACAAGCATATAGATTAGAAAGTCAGATTGAGGTCACTGCTGATTGGCATACAACAAAGTCAGGGGTTTAAAATGTATTGACACCATTGTATCAACAATCACAGGCAGGCAACCAGCATTTTTAGAATTACTAGATTTCCTTTAAAGTGAACATGTGCCCAGACTATGCACACTAAAATAATTATACAGAACAAGCAATTTAAACCAAGTCCTCACTCACCTCTGTAGCTATAGGTATTGTAGAGAAACTAATCATTAAAATTCACAGCAGAGGCACTGAAATATCAGCTACCTTGGTCAGAGAGCAGGATCTTGGCAGCCTGCCAGACCTCTAATGGAAACACACAGCAGGTGTTTCTAACTGGTTTGTGAGCTTTGAGGATCTTGGAGAATGCAGATAGAGGAATCAGGAATAAATCTCTTCTACTGCTTGTTAAGATTACGTAAATGCTTTAATGTCCACAGTATGGGCACAAATGCACTTTAAAGCAACACCAACAATGCCATCTAACTTCTGAGTAAAACCGAATATACAGTGTGACTATGTTACACTAAAGTGATAGGGTGTTTCCCTTTTTCATGGAGAAATTGTAATAACCATATGAAGTTTGTGAAGTATTATTATTTTTGATACTGTAATTGTTTCTTACAATGCAATTGTCTCTAACAAAATAAGAGACACATTGCCATCTTCAGGCTCCATTGGCATCTAAGGGCTGAAAGTTTTTTTTTACCTGATTGTACCCTACAGCTTCATAGCTGACAAAGCGATTTAATGATCATAAATAACTGATTGGTTCCTGATCATTAGTGGAAACTGGAGCTGTCATTGACAAAGGTGACCGGTGACAAAAGGGTTTGTTTTGATCAAACAGTATGTCAAAATACTTTGTTAATATTAAATGAAGCATGAGGTTGTACCTTGAAGCACTGAATGTGGAAATATAGACTAAGCGTTTCAATGATCATGGCTGCCCCCTTTCCAAGTGGTAGTCCACATGTAGAACATAGTTTCTTTCCACTTACAGACCTGAAAGACAACAAGCCCTCTGTCATGAGCGATACATAAGCACACACGTCAGTTACATTTCTTTATTCAACATAGAATATAAACACATTTAAGGAATGTGTTATTGACCTTTTGTACCTGCTGGGTGACTGGCATTGTGTAGAAGACTGTGAGGAATAACTGGTATCCCTGGGGGTCTCTGGAGGATCCAGTCTGCTTTGCAAAAAGACAACAGTAGACTTAGAGTGATCATGCTCTAACACTTTCAAGACAAACAATAGCCACAGAGTATATACAATAATGGTAGAATCATGACACAATCTATGTGTGGTCTACAACAGCAGCAGATAAACACTGTATGAAAACTGGTAGACAGGCACTAACTCATAACTACTGCAGTCAGCCACACACTTTCCAAAATGAGGGCAGAAATCATGTGGGGAGAGGTTTGAATACAAAGGATGTCAAGTAAAGGAACTGACCTGCATTTCAGTTTATTAGTAAAAAAAAGAAAAAACCCCAGTATGTAATACAGTAATAAAATACACATAATTGACAGACCATTGACCTTATATGTCTTTAATTACTAATGCATCCAAAATCAAAGATATACCTCTGCAATGATAATTCTGTTTTAGTTGTGGATCACGTTGATTTTTGTATCCTATTTGTCTTACGTCATAATGTTTGCTCAATTTCTTTACTCTGGTATGTAACATTGTTGTTTTACAGTATGTTGTATTCAATAAACTTTGATGTAACCATAAAATACACAAATGCAAATGGGGTGGCGTCTCTGTGCATTTTGCAATCCTTATCAATGTAAATCAAAGGAAAAGAAGGGCCAAAGCTGCTACCTTGTGTAGGGCCTCATTCTGTCTTACAGAGGAACCAAAAAACTTGTGCTTGTTTCGTCTAAGGGGCTCGGAACAGATTTACACACCTGATCCTTGGTCCCGTTGGCTCCCTCCAGGCTGCTAGACTAGTCCACACAGCCCCTTCTTCCCTGGGCTTCGGCGGACCAAGGACCACTGATGTCCTCATGTCTTATGCAGGTCCATTGACCTGCAATAGACACAACAATGCCAAAGGACATTCCATATCCAGAGTGGAGAGAGGTGAGTGCCAACTGCTTAGGGACCAAGGATCAGGTGAGCAAAACTGCTTTATTTGAGCCCCCTAGACAAAATAAGCACTTGACCTTGCAATGCAGGCGTAGCAAGGGTAAGCTTTTTTTATTTTCCAAGAGTTCTTCTTCAATCCATCTCTGCTTTCACCTATAATTCTTGGTGAAGTATCTTTGTGTCTACAGGACAATTTAAGCCAGAAAGAACACCTCCACCACCTTCTAACCTCAGATCTTATTATTTGCCACACTGGGGTTAATTTACAAAGGGAATTTAAGCTTTTCACTCAGCAAAGTGAATTTTCACTACGCAAGGGAATTTTCTCTAAGTTAAAGCTTGGGTGAAGCTTGGATGAAGCTTTGCTGACCTCAATCATCCAATCATGTGAAAGCAAAAATCCTGTTTTTAAACATTTTTTTTGCTTACACATGATTCGTATTCTGTGCAAGGTGACTTTTCACCACATTCCCTAAGCTAAATAAAAATTCCCCTGCAAAGCTCCACTCCTTTAGTAAATCAATCCCATAGTCTCCAATGTCAATGGCTGTAATACAGAATGAAAACAGTGAGCAATTAACTATTAGCATGACTCTAATACAAGCAGAGATGAATGTGGTTTTAAATCACAACCTTTCTTCTTAAATACCCAGGAAGCCTAAAGACATGAGATTGTCACCTCGTAAGGACACTCACCCCTTTGAATCCACACAGGGCGACCTTGGCTGACTGTTTTTACTGTCCTCAAAATTGTTAAGAGATGCCGCATCCTCAGACACATGGGATTCTGAAGTCACGCCTGATGATTATAAAGAATAATAAATGAACAGCCATTGCATTTGGCAACATGTGATGCAAATGGAAAGACTAAATAATAAAAGTCATGGACATTTTAACTGAACAACTGAAGACCTTATGCTGTACATGTTGTTGCCTTCATTTGCAAATCAAAATAAACTTTTTAAACTGCTTTCTGGCCAATTTGGTGGACCATATCAAAATAAGTAAAAGATATTCTATTTCTACCTTTTTTCTGACTTGGGTGACAAACATTAGTCATAGTATAAAAGTATGGTAAAGTATAACATGGGTAGGCAAATAACTGATGTTAAAATGTTGGTAACGGCACCTTGTGAGTTTGCAAACTTCAAGAGCTACAACACCTAGTTGCTTCATGATGGGAATTTGCATTTCCCCAAACTGGCAGCCACAGGTTATCTGAGCCGAAACTAGATTTAAAAGTTGACAACAAATATGACCTATCACAAGTGGCAGATGCCCTCAGTATCCTAGATGTACAGGCAATATTGTGAAGAATTCCTTAAAAAGGACTCATTCAGTATGCAGCATGCATAAATCAGCACCAAATCAGACATTTCTGGTCTAGATACAAAGGGGCTGGTTCAACCATGTCTGTTAAGCTGCATTGATCTACATAGATAAATGCAAGGCTCAATGCACTGGCAAATAGAAAAAAAATGGTTTTCTTTGTGCCTGTTCCCACCATAATGCTGCATCAAAGTGCATTGTGGTGCGCAGCATAAATATTATGCATGGTTGCATTTTTACACAGGGCACTGCACCTCATTAAATCACAATAGGCTGTGAAGCATGGAACTGAATGGAGAAGTAAACAGTGCTAATGTGTTGTAAAAACGCATCACACCACCCCTACACAACGAACACTAGCATACAGGCCTTATAGCATGCGGTCAGGTGTGAACAAACCTCAAGACTTATCTTACCAAATTGTAAATGAAGGCTGGTGAGTGTGCTGCACTGTTGATGGAAAGTATAGTTGTTCTCTTTATCTGTCATAGGCACCGTCTCTTCTGTTTCCAACCTGCTGGTGCTAGAGGACACAGTATTAAAAGGTCACTTTCACTAGCACAAAAGACATCAACGTCCATCACATAACATTTTAGGAATCCCTCCAGGAGAGGATCAAACCAAAGCTTATCCCTTTGCAGCAACTAAACTCTGTAGGTATAGTAGCACTATGCAGCAAAATGCAACCGCAATCTTTATGAAAGAGCAGCTTGCATGAGCTGCTTTGAGACAAGGAATATGAGCATCTTCAATAAATAAGTTTACAAACTTCTAGATCGATATGGTTATTAGGAGTGGGATAGATGTTATGGAAATTCAATATAGAAATACATGTTTATTTTTAGCTTTGACCATAGATACCTTTTTAATACGCATTTCCTTTCCAGAAACAAAGAGACAAATTATTTCCATTTCAATATGCACTCTCCTTATAATTTCTACATACCTGGAGCCTTTTTGCTGTTCTTCTGGTCTATTGACAGCTCCCTCCAGTGTCCACAATGACACTTGCGGTTTAATATCTTCTGGCTGTGCTGCCTCTTTCACACAGCTCTTTGCCTCTGTCCAAGTCTGCAAACAAACCAAAATAATATTACCCTAATGGTTATCAAAACAGCATCCCTGAACAATTATGGCAAAACCGATTATGTTTACAAATGACTCCCTTCAACATATAATTGTTGCTGTAGTATAAAGGAGAAGCCAATTCATTGTACAAAGACCACACCATTAAATATGCTTGCTAGCAATCTTGAAAAATAAAAGACGCCCTTGGCACCAGCCTTGTTAAATCCTATATTTTATTATTAGTACAACAATATTGAATACTATGGACTGCTGGATTAAAAAAAAAAGGATTACATAGTCCCAAAAATTGTAGGAAGTACTGTAAACAGCGACTGAAACATCAATTTCAAGCTATAGAATGGAGAGCAGATTTATAGGAAAGATACAACCATCAATCTTGCTTTTTCTAACAATCATTGTGTGAATGTTCCTTTTGGTTAAAGTGACACTAAACTCAGGAGGTAAATCTTAAAAATGCATTCAATACCTTAAATATTAACAAAAATGTATCTTATTTGTGTATCACTCAGCTGTAGATCCTCAAATCATCTCTGAATTGGTGCCGACACTGTCCTACCTTCTGGAGGGTGGCTACTTTTGTTCCCCATGGTCCCTGTGTGTTATAAAGTAACCACCGCTCCAAGCTTGCCCTCATGATGGGCTATAATCTCAGGCTGGGTTTACTCATTTGTATTGAGATTGTAGTACATCACGGGAGCGAGTTTGGAGCGGTGACTACTTTATAATACACAGGGACCATGGGGAACAAAATTAGCCACCCTCCAGAAGGAAGGAAAGTGTCAGCACCAATTCAGAGATGATTTGAGGATCTACAGCTGAGTGATACATAAATAGGATACATTTCTGTTAATATTTAAAGCTACTTTAATGCATTTTTAAGATTTAATTTCTGAGTTTAGTGTCACTTTAAGTATGTATGTCAATCTTTGGGGCTGAGATTGTTCACATATCACTAGTGCTGGTCTTTGCTTCGGCAAGAAAATCCAATCCAGCCAGGTAATTTGAGGTTTTGACTGTTCTAGCTTTAATAGCGCTGGTTGTGCTAGCATTATGTGGGCATTTTAAAAGTGGACACTCGTAGGAATAACACATTGATCAATTAACTGGAAATTAAATACACCTTTTCAAGGTATCCACCAGATTTAGTAATAGAAATAAAAATAAATACATTATAACCACCCCATATGCATTAATGGAATATCCCCACATGCACTGTGCCTGGGGAAGCATATGCCTGGGGAATGGGATCTGAGTTTCTGTTTCAATTCAATCTCCTAGTATGGCCAGCTTTAGATTATCCATACACGTTATAATAATCTTCTCCAATGATGTGCTGTACAGAGAACCAAAAAGCCACTGTCTGGAAAGTATACAAAAGAACAAGTACAAAGGAAAATTCCTGTATGGCTTGAAAGCCTTAGCACACCTCTAAAGAAAAACAAGAGATCCTGCAGATCCCTGGAATTACAACATCGGGTACTGTACAATGTATCCATGGATGAAGGTAAGTAACCTGGGCATTCTGCCATTTGCCACTTGAATTGAGACAATGACCATCATATGGCCGCATCTAGGTGGCAAATCTCTCCTCAAGTACATGAGAGATCAATGAGAGATCAACCACCCTTCACCCATACTGCTGTACTCAAAAAGGCTGACCCAAGATTCTGATTCATGAGATAAATGGATCATTCCAGCAGCGTTACTATAAAACGAGCACAAATGAGCAAATGCTTATTATAGGTTGGATGTAAATGAATACACTATGCATTCAATCTCTATTCATACCCAAGGTACTTTGTGTAAGTCCACACAAACAGCACATTCTGACTCTCGAACATGCTGTTCATACAATCTGAACAGATTCTAATTATACCTCCTGCCATCACAGTAAGCCAAGTCAACTTCATTTTAAACCCACGTACTGCCAGCAGTCATGTGCCTGACAGTAGATGTGGCATTTCGAAGTGCCAATGGCTTTTTAAACTGATGTCAGAGCCTAATTTAAAGTGAACCTTTACCCATATCTTTAAAATAACAACAAACACACCTTTAGAAATGTTTAGTAATGACATTCTACAAACACATACTTCTAGATAATTGCCGGCTTTCTTTGCATACCTTACTTCTCTTTTCCTCCCCAGTCTTCGGACAGTGTCCATGTTTACTAAGAGCAGATTACAAGCTCTCCTATTAATTCCATCGTTTCAGCCACATGTGACTAGACATGTGACTAGGACATGTGACCATGCACATCATCTCAGGGGAGGAAAATGCCTTTCTCTGAGATCTCTTGAGATTACAGAAAAGATTTCCCAGCAATGCTCTGCTGATGACAAGGCAATCACAGTGTGCATTGCGTTGGCAAACTAAAGTAATTTGTACTCTCATTGCAGGAAGTGAATGCTCTGCAAGTGTAAGTATTTCAAAATCACAGCATTTTACACCTGACATGTCTATGTTATTAGTAATCATCCTACATAGAGGGATGCATTGGTAGAATTTGATTTTTCAGTGTAAAGGTCCGCTTTAACTAGACATGTCACCCACAAATGGGGCAGTGTATGCTGTCCTTAGACATGTAGCAGAGGACTTTACAGATATTGTAGAACATAGACATGCCTCTTCAGAGGTGGTTTGCTGCTCCCTGTGGTTGGAGGTCATGCTTCCATTCATCTCACATACACCACGATGTAAACTTGTAGCAGGGGACACTGTCACTGGCATTAAGGTGTCTTCAATTATCTTTTTCTCCTGAAGAGACATTTGAGCAATCATAAAAAAACAGCATCGAGAAATATTACAAGATTTTATTTTAAAAACAGGGTTGCATGTTGCATACTCAGCCAAAAAGAGTAACTGACAAGCAAAGTCTAGTTTAGTAACCTAAAGTGCAATACTTCAGTTTGTTCATTCAAAGTCCACTTCATTCAATACTTCAGCTTGTTCATTCAAATACAAGATTCTAGGCAACATGTCATAAAGGTAAGCGATTGAAAGGGGTCTTAAAAAACAATTACATTTCCATAAAATACATTAGCTGTACCAACCTCCAGTTTGTCGATTCAAAATCAGACGCCTAAATAATTCTAATTGTTTGAGATGTTAGTAATCTCAGACAGACTTCATTTATTTGTTGTGGACATGTCCAGTGATAGATAAGTTAACCTCTTTACAGCATTTTCATGTACCCCTGAAACACGATCTTGGCCCCGTTATATATTATTTTTACAAGAATCATGGCACCCAAGCCAAATCCCCTTAACCGAATACAACCTTCAGTGCCCACACTAGCTTAGCGTTTTTTAATAAATTATAATATTTTTTAAATTAGAATTTATACTAATTAATTTTACATGTAAATCTTCCAACGAGATAAGGTGAAGGAGTTGCTAGTGACACCCCCTTTTCCCCAACACACACAAGAATGCAGAATAGCATCGTCACATTTCAAAAACAGTTTAAACTCTGCAAAATGTAAGATGACATAATTACCTCCTCATAATATTTACGTTCCTCCTCTTCCACCTCTTTCTGGGCTTTTTCCCATTCGTCCTTCAGCTTCTCCTGCTCTTTCTGGTACCTCTCCTGTTGTGAATTAGATTCAAGTTTTGTTATAACAGAGAGGCAGTTTGATCAACTACAATTCATGTGTAAGATCAACTAATGAGTCTCGAGGTGACTATAGGAGAGCTGATATGCTCATAAGCGGCTGCTATTGTATGAAATAAAACTATACACACATTTTTTGATTCTCAGGAGCACAAACTCATCTTTCCCATCTTTCTTTGAATTACCACATTCTCAAAGCATTAGCAACTTGCTTAAACTTCATCTCTTTTTTTATTTTTGGACAGAGTAAGGAAGGGTAACACAATTGTTTTTATGGCTGTGCCACCTTTGGGAAGATTCACCCCTCTATTTGTACTGTCGACCATTGCAACAGAGAAAGAAAGTGAGGGAAAATCCAAAACTTTAGAGTTGTCCCCAGAACAAGAGTTTCTTTGTTTGTACTGGTGACCACAGCTACCTGGATTAGAAATTGGATAAAAGAGGAGATGGGGGACACCTTTTCTGCTGAAAATCGTCTAAGAAGGGAATCCCCCTCTCTCTGCTTTCGTCTCACTTCCTATTGCATTTCTGGGACACGAAGTGAAGAAACATTCCCCATTGGAACGTAGCTCAAAATAACGCGACAGGGTTTTTTATATTTAGTGAAAATGGCATTGATTAGATGTCACACAATCACTAGCATATATACATTGCATTTGGGGAGAAACTGAAATAACTAGATTTTAGCCCTCGTTCACACCTGAACGTTTTGTAGCGCGTTCTACGCTCGACGAACGCTCTACAAAACGTTGTGTATATATATATATACACATACACACAGTGTATACACACAGTATATACACACACACACATATACATACATGTATAAATGTATATGTGTGTGTGTGTGTGTGTATATACTGTATATCCATGCACACATACTGTATATTGCAACCAAAAGATATACCTGCAGCAGCCTCTCCTGCTCCTGCTGCCATCTCTCCTGTCGTCTTCGCTCTTCATCTGGATCCCAAGAACAAAACCGACTTGGAGAATTTAAAGCTGGTATTAGTACCTATCAGTAAATACAAACAATTATTTTCAGATATACAGTACAAAAACAATTGTGTTTGCATGCCATTTGATGATTAAATCTTATGGTTTAGCATCATTTGGGGCATGGATAAATCTAAAGCATTAGCTGCACGAATAGCTTAGGCCTAGGATCCAAAGGGCTCCACAGGGACGATTTATAGACTAGCATGTCCTTGTGGACACCTCCTAGTTTTAGGCCAGGTCAGGAACGTTAACTATTTCTTTTATAAAGGTTTAACTAATTTTTCAAAATGAACAAATAAAAATAACATCAAAATAAGTCAACAGTGTACACTCCTAATCAGAAAGTACAAGATACTATTGGACAGAATGCATTATACAATGAAATAAAGCAAAAGAACAAGAAAAGTACCCATAGACTATCAAGTGAGCTAGCTAAGTGTGAGAGCCATACTGGGTGTCCATACTCTCTTTTGCTTCAGGGAAAAAAAGAAGCCTCATTATAGCTAACCAAGTAGTGAGCGGCATCATTGAAAAAGCTCCCCATTGTGCATACCCAGGGAAGACATTACTTGGGGCTAACAGACTTGTGCAGTTGATAGAGCACAGCATATAAGGGTTCAAAGAAGAAGAAATAAGAAAATAGGGGGGTTCCCGTAGGGCATAGGGGGGAGGGAAGAGGCTTACCCACCAGGGGGGACCCCTGCGAGGCATGTTAGAGGTGCAATAGGTTCTGGTCAAACCCACCAAGGCGTGATACTCTACCCATAGGCACCATATTTTCACTTTAAATATTTCTTATGGTACAACACCACAAAACATTTTAAAAAAGGCCCAGCATATCCACAACCGTATACATTACAGTGATCAGAGCCTAGACCCAGCACCAAACCATGCTTGAAGAATTCTGCTGAAGTTAATTAAGGCAGTCAGAGGCGCAGAATGATTAATTGCCCTAATTAATGCAAAACATCTTCAGCTTGACAAAATAAAGTTTAAAACACCGTAATGACACAAACATGCCTTGTGAAATTACTTACTGCTGAGCTCCCGCTGCTTTCCGTACCTCCTGTCAAACAAAATGAAAAAACAAAAAACTTTATTCTGCTTCCTACTCACATATTTACATCTGACTCTTACAGTAATATACAGGGCTTCTGTTCCACTCAGAGAATATCAATGTCCATTTTGCCCACTGTTTTATATACGAGTGTCTGTACTGCCTACAACAGGTCCCCCTTACAATTAATAATGGGCAGTACAATACAGACACCATAGTCTGTGTAAATTATACACCTTCTTAAATACACAAGTCATCTACATGAAACAAATATATATGTAAATACCTCATGGGAACCCATGTGCAGCTTCTTATCTAACAAGTATTCTCATTGCACCATATTTGTTTTAAATTACATGCAATTCAAATAAGCCGATCCTCTTCTATGAAAAGACCTCCACATGTTCAAAGAATTGAGGTATTGAAGTATTATAAGGTTTTTAGATATGTATGTATTTAATCTAAATTAACTATACTTTTAAAGGGAGACATGTATTTGAAAGGCGTATTTTGTATTGTATAGTATAGTATAGTATAGTGCTCCCAGATCTCAATCATTATTATATTGTTATTAAATGTCAATTTTGGCTTCTGTGTTTGGGCATAGGGACAGAAAGTATGTAGTTACATGTTATGCAAATATAACCTTATTTATAGAAGTGTCTAAGGCCTAGGTCACACGGGCTTCAGCTTGTATAAGAGCATTATGAACACCAAGCTCTTATGATGCTTTGAATACCTTTCTTGAATGCCTTTAAAGGACACCTTAACACAAACTGTCAAGGACAATTCTGACCTCTGAAATGCAGATTGATAAAGCCCAACTTGTTATTCACTTTGAATATACAATCATTGCAATTTAATTCTAGGACAACACAGCAAGGGCCATATCAGACAATGATCTGTCACTGACAACAACTTGGCAGCAACAGGATTGCTAAGAAGCGACTTACCTTCACCTATGGAATTGGTCCCTCACTGGCTGGACTATGGAGCTGCTCTGCCACGGCTCCCTTGTTAAAAAAACTGATATTCTGGAGTTTTATTCCAGTGAGGGAGTGACATCCATTAGGGGAAGGGGTTGCTTCACCTCTGATTCTATCTGAATCCCCCACCTGACATTAGCCTACATACCAAAAGCATTTCAAAATATGTAGTGGCAAAAAATACATTGGCACTTGCTTCTCATAAACTGTTTATTTACAACTTCTGAGTGGCTCTGTTCTCACCCAGACAGGCGTTACATGCAGGTGGCTCTTCCACCGACTGAATAATTCTAGTCTTATTTTCTAAAGGAGCCTGCAATTAAATCTGAAAGTGCAGACTAAAAACTGCCTATTGAAAACTCAAAATGAAATTAATCACAACAGTGAACCATGTAAGAGTCTGGAGTGATACCCATATATAGTAAGCAATTCCTGCAAAGCATCAATGATTGATTTTATTTGTTGTCTAAATTGATGATTCAATGATGATCCTTTCACAAAGAAATTGTCTTTTTTTGTCTGCCGTATGGCAATAACACAGGTCAGAAAACAGCCATGCACACAAATACTTTAAAATCACTATTAAAGCCATGTGAATTTCAAAGTGTTTGTGCATCATGAAGTCGCAGAGCTGCAGTTTCTCTATCACATTGAACAGCTTTTCAGAGTCATTGGCATTCATCCCTTTTCCGTGTTATTTGGCCAAGACTAAATGCTGCTTCAAGTCATATGACAAGACCACCATAGCTGTTCACAAGTTTCACCATCCATACCAACCCTGACTGATACAAACCTCTAGTGAGATCACAACAAAAGTAGTCCAATGATGATCACATAAACAGGAAGAGCTAATAGAAGTTTGTCACATTCAACTGGACTTGTTCTATAATGTTGAAGATGTTTTGCTGCTTATCTCAACAGCTTCTTCAGTTCATTGAACCAACTATATGTCTTCAACATTACAGAACAAGTCCACTTGAATGTGACTAATTTCTACTAGCAATACCATGACCTGGATAAATGAGAACCTTCACAGATATATGCAGAAATACCTTGTACCCAGTACTCCTGCATGTAAGCAGTTTACATGATTACCAGGCAACTAGGATTATATAAGAAAGCCCAGCAATGGCAGGTTCCTTTAAGTGCCCAAGGGAGTCTTAATACATTATTATTATTATGATGGTGAAATGTTATGGCTGTATAGCCCATATGCGAGTGATGTATGGTCACTTTTACATTTTCTCCCAAAATCAGTAATAACTGAACAGCATAAAAAATTATATGGTTCAGAAAAGAGGCATTAAAGCGATTTTGGAAGCGATGTGAAAGATTCCAACATTGCTTACTAGATTTGTGTAAAATATGTGTGATGATGGAAGAGAAATGCTGGACGCATGGCAGCAAATAACCCTGAACACATTTGTGTACATGGCTTGTACTTAGTTTTTACGTGCCATTTTATCAAATCTAATGACACATCACATGATATGCAAAGATATAAAACCAATATAATACTTTTATGTTCTAGACAAATTTATAATAGTTTTTTTTTTTTTACGAGCTTCTATATCATCATCACAGATTATGATATCAGTCAATACAACCATATACTGACCTACAGAACTTAAGCTAAACCATAACAATAAAAACAACACACACAATATTATACTTTGCCATTCTTTATTAAACAAATGGTTTAAACAGTTAAGGACATTGATAAAAAGAATATGGGAACCCTTATATTGCGTAAGTAGCAGCACCTAGTTTATTGACTAAGACTTTAACCAAATGCATTGATGCAGTTGCTGATCAGAGATGTGCTGTAGTAAGCAGTTATTTAGGCCCATTCTTATATTTAAAGTAGAAGTATAATATGCTTTTATTTTTCTTTTACTGTATCCTCCCTCCTTTATTAACATGCTCATGAACTTGTAAATAGAACCTTTTGTTTTCATTACATACCTTATTTTAGGCCCAGTCATGTCATCTATACAATGCAAGCAGATCATGGCTGGTGGGAGGGGCTGGCAGGGTGCTGTATATAGCTTCCTTAAAACCTCACAACACCCTGCCTCAGTGCTCCAGTGCTTTCAAGAGCCCTCAATCCTGATGCAAGCAGTGGGCGGGCTCTTGGGAAGAGTTATGCATTTTTAAAAATGCCTTGATGGGTGGATGTCAGTCTGGAAAACTGGGAGTTCCTAGGCAGACTGCATTTGTAAGCAGACCGCCCTAGGAAACACCCACATGTGATGCGGAGCCTACATTACTGAAATAACTGAAATCCAATGAATGAAAGGAAGAGGCCAGGCACAGTCAGGCTGGGGAGGAAGAAGCTAGATGGTGCTGGACATTCTCCAGCCAGGAAATGAGGCGGCTCTATCTGACTTGCTGCAGCTTCTAATGTAAGCTGTGAGAAGCTCACAGTGCACAATGCAATCAGAATAAGCATTTTCAGTACAGGAGAGGAGCCAGTACAAGTGTGTAAGGCTGAAGGTAAGGCCGGAGTTCAGCTTCAAAGTAGAGCTGTGTGGCTGCTCGTTCCCAAGGCTCTCGTCACAATGTGCACAGTTAGGCATACTTCCCTCTTCCTCGGATGACAGGTTAATGCTCCCCCTCATCATTCCATCACCGTCACTGCCATTGTCTTCCAATCATCTACTTTTTAAAATTCATTTGAGTTTAGATCGATTTTAGAAGAAATTGTATTAAATTATGGACTAATCCATTCTAAAATAATTAGAGGTACAAGGCTGTGCATTTACCCGGTTTCACTGATATTCTGCTGTTCCAACTTTCTGATACAGCTCGGAATTACATGACCTAAGAAAGTTAAGCAGCCCCACAAAATAATTCCTCCACCATGCTTCACAGCTCAGATGAGGTTTTGTTGCTAGTAATGTTTTATATTATGTAATACAAATGTGTAAATGCACCAAAATGTCACACACAGCATTGTTCCTGTAGCTCTGAGGAACATCCAAGTAATTGTTTGCAAACTATGAGTGATGAGCACAGATACTCTACAGTGCAAGCAATGGCTGCATACTTTTACATGTTTCTCACCTTGATGATTTTACAGCACACCTTTGCACTCATCTTTTTGGATGCATGGTATTAGGAAGAGTTGATTTTCTTTAATTTGCAATTGGTGTGGCTCACTGTTAATTGATGGGGTCTGTGCCTGTAAAAAAAAAACTTTTGTAGCCCCCTGCCAGCTCCGTAAAATGTAATTCTTCTACTAAAGGTCCTCTATAACTGCTTTTCATCAGAGTATATTGCACTGCTAAAAGGGCAAATCACTCAAGACATAATGTTTATTAAATAAAGGTAGCTTAAACCCATGCCTGAATTGACTGACACTACTAGTAAGGTACGTGAAGATTTTTGAAAAGGAAGTAAACACTAGCTGATATACATTTTCTTTGATTAGGAACTGTGCATCAGAAAGAACTGCCCTTTATTTCCAATACAGTTTTTGCCTTTTATTATCGGTTGCATATCACAGCTTGTCTTCTACAGGCCCTTTGCAGCCACCTCCTATGTATATGTAGTCCAGCAACTGCTGCATGTCATTTCTAATGGTGGGTTTCTAGATGGGCACAACAGTGGACCATACTTGTACAATGTGTGTCAGTATGGCTGTTTGTAGTCTTCACTGTGCCTCCCTGAGAACATGGAAGAATAGTTGGGAGACGAGAACAAAGGGTTGTCACCCAATAATAGGAAGTGCCTGCACAAGCACCTTCACGGCATGTGTGATTTTAATGAAAGGGTTACTTATATTTTATCATCGACCTTGATCGATTAAACCATTTGTTCAATAAAGACATAACATAAAATCTCATGTGTTTTGTATCTTAAAAAACTAAATCTTAATAGAGAAGTATTACATTAAAAAATACATTTTTAGTAGCTGTTCAAAGAAATTCCTAATGGTCTACAAATTTTTCATTACAACTGTATATTAGTTCTAATATTATACAGAATGCCAGTTTCATATTAGTAACTATAAAAACTTGTGGCACAAATGTGAAGTGCAGTGCACTGAAGTGAAGAACTGATTTACTATAGTATTAAGTGAAATGAACAAGTTTTACTGGAAAAAAACAATTCAATACACAAGTTCATCTTACTTTGCGGTATTGGCAATCAAGCCCAGAGTTTGAGAGCTGTGGCTCCAGTATCTTAATTGAGCCAGTGAATCTGCAAAGTACAGCATGACATAGGCAAAGTCTGACACGAGAACCACAAAACACCAGAGATTTCCTGTGGAGCCACCACTGTGGTACAGGAGATTCCACTATGCTATAAAATGTCAACTCTATTACTTGACTGAACAAAGAACCGAGAGCAATGCCTGCAGTCTGCATGCTAACATAAAAGCTTTGCTGGATATTTTTTTAATTTGCTGGTGAAATTCTGATGTGCAAAAGTTAAAAACATAGATTAAAAAAACAGAAAATACAAATATACACTGAGTGGCCAGATTATTATGACCACCTGACGTTTGTAGGCAAATTAGCTATAATTAGCTATAATTTTGCGCTGAAGTTGCTAGAGGGCCAGACCATTATAAATAGTGAAGCAGGTTGTTTACCACGACAGTAGAAGTGATTTTTTTCTGAAGATATGGGTAAACAATGCAATTTAACAGCCTTTGAACGTGGGATGATTGTTGGCACTCTGAGCCATGGCGCGAGTATCAGCAAAACAGCAGAATTCGTTAAATGTTTAAAGACTGGACTGTCAGCCGAAAATCTGGGTCTGAACGTGCGAATTGTGGCCGTCAGCGACTAGTCAATGTTAGGGCAGAACGGAGAGTGGCAAGACTGGTACAAGACAACAGAAGGGCAACAGTGCAGTGTCAGATTCCTCGCATCACCTTTCAACATCTCGTGGAGTCACGAGGTGGCCCAACGAAGTCATCTCGTGGAGTCATCTCGTGGCCCAACGAAGTACTGATGGGGTGGTCATAATAATCTGGCCACTCAGTGTATACATGTATAAGAAAATTATGTAAGGCAGATGCGAACATTATAAAATGATCCTAGAAATATCAAAACATTGTGCACAGGTATAAATCTTACAGCTACATTTGAAGTCTTATTTTAAGTGAAAATTATTTCTGTGATTTAGTTTTAAATGCAAATGTAAAAAATGCACAAAGATCCCTCCTCCTCTTTTTCCTATTTAAAAAATAGAAATGATTAGAATTCCACCGCACGCTTTTCGCTGCTCAGGTATCTACACCAGCGGTGGTCAACCTTCTCAAATGCAGCCCCTGACAGCACTAAAGAGCTGAACATAATATTCAGTAAATGTAATGCAGTACAACATAAAATATGCCTAAATAAAACAGACAGCAGGATAGCTACCCAGCATAGTCAACACACTACTATGGCCAAGTGCTATGGCAGCAGAGCAGGGAATTAACTTTAATTTTCAATGAACCTACTCTATACTTAGAAGCTCACCGTTCTTTTCAGCATATCAGTTCTCATATCGCAGGGTAATTGTGAAAAGTCTAAGCTCCCCTACTATAAAAGTAAACACATGCTATAAGAGATGGTCATTAAGTCCAAAAAAAAAAGTTGTAGCTGTAGTAACAACAACATAAGGATCTTTTATAGTATTACATATTTGTCAGTGCTCCTTCTTTACTTTTGATTTTGCAGAAGTACAACCCTCAGGTTAATCTTTATGTGGCCAGGCTGCAGTAGAAGTTAGGAGGGTAATAAATCTACAAAGCTACACCAGCTAAACAAAATACATAAAACAAGGGGGATCTGTGACTAGAGATCCTGACAATTCCTCCTGTGGGTCTCATGTCAGCTCTGCTAGACTCCAGAGTCTAATTTGCCTCAACAGCCTCCCTAATGGGACCCCCTCCCATGAGAAGCCCCATAGCAGCTGAGTGAGCTGCAACAGATAGAGTTGAAAGTAAACAGAGGTTCATTTATTACAATTCATCTGTTTAGTAAAGGTTTATAATGTTTTATCAGATGAAAGGGGCACATTTAGGTTTTGAGGATGAGTCACCAAACGAGACCACAGTAATACTGTCCACAGTGCCCCTTTAGATGGTAATTTCCATCATTTCACCTATACTAGAAAAGTTACATCAGTAAGTTGCATGGGGCAATAACTTTCTACTCACGAACACCACTATATACAAGCAAATGGCTCATGTGGTAAGCAAGTGAATGTACAGATCAAAGGGAGAAGGTGCCGTGAAAAAGAATCTAATATTTAAAAATATGGTGGTTAAAAATATGTATTTTTTTTAAAGTCTTATAAATAAATGTTATAGCGTAAAGAACAATGTGGCAAATGTAGTAAATCTTAGCGACAACCAGAATTTTTGCCATTGCAGTAAAACTAAATCTGATTGCTATGGGTTACTGTACTTTGCATATTACTACTCTAGTAGAGTATTATTACTCTCCTACACCCTATTAGAAGGCAAATGGTCCTTAGAATCATTGTTCTGATAGAAATGATGTACAGCCTGTCAGGTAAAGCACCCTGTACACTGTACACACACATTAGGAGTCTAATAAAGCTCCTTGGCCATATTGTGCATTTCCTGCAGTGAGACCAGCAAATATAGCAGGCTTCACCCCCACAATCTATCTAAAGGACTACAATACACAAACTACATACTGGTCTATGTCTGTGCAAATTGTGCAAACATTTTAGAAACGTACTAAGAAATATTTACAACCAAGGTAGCTTATTTATCCATTCCATAATCCCATCAAAGTAAACTTAATTTTTCTGCCTCAATTTGCCTATTTTATCAAATATCTCAATTTTTGTACAGGTGGGGGTACATTCACATACATAGATTTGCATGTTACCAGAAGCTTTTCCTCAAAATGCATATAAATTAATTTTCCTGTTTTTTCTGAACAGCAATTCTCTGCGTACAAAACAGTTTATGGGTCCCAGCTCGTCTTGGAAATTCACACTTAGCATTTCATTGTGCATTTCATTTTATTTAGTGGAATACACAATACTACATTGTACAGTCAGAAAATATTTTATGTACAAAAGGTAAGAAATGTTTTCAAACACTAAATAGGGTCTGCTATATTATTACACCCCTATAGTGAAGTCCATGTAGGTAAATGGGGTGACCTGCCATCAGAAGGTGTACGCACCATGCTGTTCTTTCCGCAGTGCCTCTTGTTCATGTTCCTGTGTTGTTTTTACTTGATGCAATGCTGTTTCTCTTTCTTCTTTGACGTTGAAATTCAGAGACTGAAAACACAATGAAATACACTGGTAAATATCTCAAATGCAGGCCCACTTTTGAAGACTAAAATCAGTATATAAACACTATGAATCTCAATAAAGTATTTTTTCTTCTACCTCTACCTTTTCCCTTTTTAGGATTGCAATAGTTTTTTTTCAACCTGTAACCTCTATAAAAGCTGGCCATACAGTAGATTTTCCTTTCAACATTCATGTGAAGACTCTCATCCGAACACTCGATAATGCCATCTTTATAAATTGAATTTAAATTTAGCATTCATTTTTGGAATTAATGGAGTATAGCAAACAAAAACCACATTCACTGTTAGAATTCCATTTGTTCAAGAAAAAATTAATCCACCCCCTCCTTCCATTTTTTTCATCACCACAGCCAAAACCAATCACTGGTTTGACCACATTAACCATTTGAGAAATCAAATCGAACTAAGTTTTTCATACTAAGTTCTACTGGTGTTTGTAAATTTGTAAATTCCAAGAGGAATTTGGAAGAGCCAGGATAGCACTGTGACACAAAATGATAAAAAGATAAGCAAATAGCGTTGTAAAATGTGATTTCGGAAGTTATAAAACGTGATTTTGGAGGGGGAGGGTGGAAACAGACTTTTATTTGGATTATTTATAAGAAAAGTGTTGAAACTCACTTAGGCAGTACCTGGAACATATCTTCTATTTAACCATCAGATCCTGCTTTGTATTAAAATTCAACACTAGTCAATTTTGGATAGAAAGGGAACGTTTTGAACCTATGCCAGGTTTTTATTGCTGTGTGCATCCAGGGGACAGGAAGGGAGGAGAACATATCCTACATGACGGCACAGATAGCAATAACTTTTGGACAGTTGTTTTAACCTTTCTCCCCTCTACCATAAATATGTTTGTATTGGAGAGATTACTCTGTCCCAGTGACACAACAGGAAGTGATGAGAAATTTCCCCAAAGGAAATACAAACAGTAATAAAAATCTGACAGATGACCATCGATCAAGCTATAGAAAAAATAAAGGTTTTGGCAGAACTTTACTTTATTCTTTCATAAATGTTATTTGGAATAAATAAGAAGCAATAGGAAGAAATAGCTTGCTACTTGCTACTTTAAACACAATTTTATTTCCTTTTAGTTTTTTCTCTACATATTAAAAGGTAATTTAGAATATATTTTGTGTTATAGGTCACCCCTACATTACAAATAGTATTTACATAATCATACTGTAAGATAGTAATCAACGTTGAGCATACAGGATACACCCAAATGATTTAATTGAAATACCTTGGCCCAAACAAATTGGCAGCGCTGGTCCATGTCTCAGGAGTGCCAACAGTAGCTCCTGTCTGAATGAAGCTGCACACAGTGGTAGCAGCCTTCAATTATAAATAGGTTATAATGGTATAATGGATACAATGTATTTTAATTACTTATACTGTGCACAGATCAAAGGAGTTTCATTTGATCTGCACATAATGTCAGTTCTAGCAACCTCGGAAGTGGGAAAGAAAGTTTTTTAAAAATAGTTACAGTTAACCACTTAAAAATGGCACTGAGATAGTATCTAATCTTGCCAGCGCCATATTAAAATGACAACCGGTCTCAGCGGATCCTGGAGGGGGTACAGGATGGAACTGGCTGTCTTGACAGCTTGGGTCCAGGTCTAAGCCCAAGAGCTGAAATGGTCATCTTCTGAACTTTAGCTCGCTCCATGTTTTGTAACAGAAAGTTTTGGCATAGTGTCTGATGTTTTGCTGGCTGGCTGAAATAGATCACTATTAAAGAGGATCTGGTGCCGCACAGGTAACCCATGAACAAAAAACAAAAACAAATTGTTTAAAAAAAAATACATCAATATATAGGGGTATAAAAGTCTCCTAAATTAAAATGCAAACGTTCCCTTTGAGCTCTGGCATTCTGCTAGGATACATAAAAGTCACACTAATGTGATAACATTTCAACCTCAAACTTTGTTGATTATATTTTGGGGTAAAAATATGAGTTGCCCAAATTATATAAACGTTACGTTTGTAAAAGTCACAGGCAAATGCTTTTTTTCTAATCTTTTGCCATGTATTCCCAATAAAAATACATTGATCCAAATTTGGTAAAAAGTTAAACGGCCTATCTGTCCTGCAAAAAACCCCAAAACATATTATGTTAGGGTAGACTACAAAACCTAAAAGATATAACGTGCAGAACCAAGATATTGCCAAAAGGAAAAACAACCTCTGGGACGCTATGGGATTTAGGGAGAAAAAGGCCTGAGGAGTCAAGTGGACACCCTAATTATCTCTTATTAACTCCCTTCTCCTCCAAGATATTTCTTTGCTTGTTACTTTTTTATATTTAAACTTAAAAAATATAAAAAGTTGTAATAGGTAAGAAAAAGTGTTTTGTTGGGGAGGGATTTATAGCATTCTAAAAGGATTGTGACTGTTTCTTAATGGAGTTCCACTTTAATTGATATAAATGTTATATTCCAATGCATTACCAGTGACTTGGGATCAATCTTTTGTTCCTCTTCTTGGTCTTTCCCATTTACAACAGTTTGAGGTGGTGCAAGAGATGGTGTGAACTCTAAGCTGGTGACAATGGGGTTTTCCTTGTGCTGCTTTGTACCTAGAATCAAGATGTCAAATTTACAGCACACAATCAGACTGTGAAATGGGACAAATGCAATTTACGAAAGTGGCTTAACAGTATAAGTATAGGCCTAACTCCCAAAACTCCATACTTAAATGCAATCATTTAACAGAGATATAGTGTGGAAAATAATTATTTTATCCCCTGCAGATTGTGTAAGTTTGCTCACTTACAAAGAAATTAAAGTTCTATAATTTTTTATCATAGGTGGATTTTAAATGATAGAGACATAATATCAGAAAAAAACACGATATAAATAAGTATATGATCCCCAAGCAAAACATGACTTAGTACTTGGTGGAGAAACCCTTGTTGGCGAGCACAGAGGTAAGATGTTTCTTGTAGTTGGTTACCAGGTTTGCACACATCGCAGGAGGGATTTTGGTCCACTCTTCTTTACAGATCTTCTCGAAATCCTTAAGGTTTCTTGGCTGTTGCTTTGCAACTCGAAGTTTCAGCTCCCTCCATACATTTTCTATAGGATTAAGGTCTGGAGACTGGCTAGGCCACTCCATGACCTTAAAGTGACATTAAAGTCAAAAATGTTTTTCCCTCCCCCCAATGTTAATGTTAGCACTTACCTTAAATTAGGTTTCTTAATCCGATCTTCCTCTTCTTTCCTGATGTTTTCATCTGTCCCTCCAGCGGTGCGGCGGCTCTCCGATCTAGCGCTTACTCCTCTCTGCTTACAGGCACTTCCGATACAGCGGTGTCTGCATGCGGGTGCATGTATCCATAGACTTACCTTGCGTCTCTGCTCGCCTCCTGCCCCAGAATCCAAACTGCGCATGCGCCCGCCCCAAAATGCTTAGCGGCCGCCCGAGCAGTTTCGGATTCTCGGGTGGGAGCGGCGACGAAAACAGGGTTAGTTTAAACCGCTTTTGAAGCTGGGTTTAAAAAAAAAAACAAAAAACGTTTTGCCTATATCTACTGCATGCTAGCAGTAGATATAGGCACAAAAACGGAGGGTTTAGAACCCCTTTAATGTGCTTCTTCTTGAGCCACTGCTTTGTTGCCTTAGCGATATGCTTTGGGTCACTGTCATGCTGAAAGACCCATCTACGATACTTCTTCAGTGTTCTGTCTGAAGGAAGTAGGCTCTCATCCAAGATTTTACAATACATTGCCCAGTCCATTGGCCCCTCAATGCAGCAAACTCGGCCTGTACCTTTAGCAGAGAAACAGTCCCAAAGCATAATGTTTCCAGCTCTGTGCTTGACTGTAGTGATGATGTTCTTAGGGTCATAGTCAGCATTTTTCTTCCTCCAAACATGGTGAGTCGAGTTCATGACAAAAAGCTCAATTTTGGTCTCATCTGACCACAGCACTTTCTCCCAATCCTTCTCTGAATCATTTAGATGTTCATTGGCAAGCTTCAGACGGGCCTGTACATGTGCCCTCTTGAGGAGGGGGACCTTGTGGGCGCTGCAGGATCTCAATCCATGGCGGTGTATTGTGTTACCAATGGTTTGTTTGGTGACTGTGGTCCCAACTGCCTTGAGATCATTCACAAGGTCCTCCCGTGTAGTTCTGGGCTGATCCCTCACTTTCTCATGATCATCCTTACTCCATGCATGGAGTTCCAGACCGAGGGCGATTGATGGTTATTTTGTATTCCTTCCATTTGCGAATAATCACTCCAACTGTTTCCTGCTCACCAAGCTTCTTGCTGATAGTCTTGTAGGCAATTCCAGCCTTGTGAAGGTCTACAATCTTGTCCCTAACGTCCTTCGACAGCTCTTTGGTCTTGCCCATGGTGGTGAGGTTTGAATGGAAGAAAGAGATTTTGTGGACAGGTGTCTTTTATATACACGACGAGTTGTCGTTAGGAGCACCTTCTTAAATTGACAGGACTAATCTGTGTACCACATAGCCAGTATGTGGGAGCAAGAATTATTGTTGGTTGGTAGGGGATCAAATACTTATTTTACTCACTGAACTTCAACTCAATTTAATCATGTGTTTTTTTCTGGATTTTTGGTTGATATTCTGTCTCTATCATTTAAAATATGCCTATGATAAAAATTATAGACCTTTCATTTCTTTGTAAGTGGGCAAAGCTACAAAATCTGCAGGGGGTCAAATAATTATTTTTCCCACAGTATGCGCCTTTTATTGTACCTAACATCTCAGAGTGCCTATTACTTTTAGATGACTCTGACAGTGCTTGACCTGCATATAATATAATTTTATCCAGATGGTTTATGAAATGGTATTGACTAGATAAACCAATATGTAGAAATGGGCCTAGAAGGCATAGTTTACGAAACACCAACAACTGGGCAGACATCAACCAACCTTCAGCTGACGGTCCTGTGTGGAAAGATGAATCTCTTCCATCTACAACATCATTGTGATTTCTTTCTTCAGGCAAAATCTAAAAAAAAGAAAAAGAAAGGCAAACCGGAGGTTGAAATCATGATGGATACGTTTTACCACTCACACAATCGTGATGATTTTACATAACCAATGTATGATAAAAATAACAACACTTAACGGGACACCTGAAGGTAGCCTCAGACATGTGATGTCTGTTCCAGCTAATATACGGAATATTAATCAACAATCTATATGTCTGTTGGGTAAACATTGCCCTTAGGCACTGTCAGGTTGACCTGTCTTGGTGAACCTCCAGATTTGTGACAAGTTTTTTAAAAACTTCTGTTTCTTTTGAGAACAGACTTGTGCCAGGGTTGGTTGATTGTGCTCCTCCCTCTCTTTGCAGCTGACCTGAACATGCATGCTATCTGTCAACATACATATCATGTCCAACCACTAGCTACTTGTCTAGCTGAATTCAGACAAAATGTAGACTGGTCTGGTTAGATACTATAAGGCAACTTCCAAACCCTTTTCTTCTCTCCACCATTATGGCAGTGATAAGCCAATACCACAGTTCATTGCCAACTCTGTGTGTATAATAAGAAGAACTGTTTGATGGCTGTGTGACTGAAGAAGTAAAGCTGAAAAAAAATCCAATGCATTAAGAATTTGATGTAGCAAGAAAAATTCTAAACTTCTGCATAGTTTATAACAAGGGTAAGAAACCTCAGCACTCCAGCTGTGGTGAAACTACAAATCCTATAATGCTTCTGCCTCTAGGCAGTTACAGTATGCTTGTGGCTGTCAGCATCTTGCAGTGCCTCAAGGGACCTGTAGTTTCACAAGACCTGGAGTTCCAAGCTTGCATATCCCTGGTTTAGAAAAAGAGCAGTATACCCAGCCTGAAGCACCCAACCAGAATTTTGCTTTTTTATATTACAAGAAAGAATGAGTTTGATTTGTTGCTGGTAGCAACACGACTCTCGAGCTCTTTCTGTTTAAAAACCATCCTCTTTGTCCTTACTTCTTTGTGCTTGACAGAGTTCTGTACATTCGGCTTTTTCAAACTAAGTTCAATGGAGGATGCATCCGGCTCCACCACTACTGCTTGTACATCCACTCTGGCTACACCTTCAAACATCTGCGATCTGGTCAGTGAGGGAACAAACATTTGATGTGTTGCACTTGATCCCATTTCTTTGTGTTCCTCTGTGCCATTCATCGCCTCTCCGTTCATACTCACTTTTCCATCTACCTACAGAAATAAAACGAAAGAGCTTAGTTTTTCTTTTGTTAAGAAACAAAAATAAAAGGAAGAGAAAGGAAAACCACTTGGATAGAATACCTCTTTCTGCTTGGGTAGTACTCTTGGGTAGGTAGAGTGTCACTTTATAAAATGGATATACTTCCTTGTTTTTTATATCTTTTTCAAACTTTACCTATTGAAATATCTACCTCTTTTTCCATCAGAATCGTTCAGCATTGACTAAATATATATGGGCAGGACGCCCCCCTAGATTAGCATATAATATTCTTATTAAAAGGAAAGAAGCAGGTGGATTGGCTCTTCCAGATTTGAGAATATATTATTCTACGGTATTAGCCCATATACTGGATTGAAAGTTTAATGGTATGAACAAGATATAGGTCACTCTGGAGAAAGAGATTTCTCCTATTCTCCCATTCTCAATACCATGGATAAAGCCTGAGTTGCGACCCCCGAGACATGTTCTTCCCTTTTGTATGTCTCCTCTTCTGAAGGCGTGGGACTATCTGGTAAAGGAAATGTGGATTTCTACTAATGTGGGACCCATGACTCCTATCATGGGAAACCTAGTGTTTAAACTGGGGGAGTCAATTAGAAAAAAATGTCAATGGCCTAGCTGTTCACCCTCACCTATAATGGATGCGCTCACACCAACATACTTGAAGCCAATGACCTCTATTATGCCTGTACAAATGCATAAATATAACTTGTGGCTTTAGTATCTTCAGCTTAGAGCCCTGCATAATAGCTTGCAGGAGATAGCTCAGTTACATAGACCATTGACTTGGTTTGAAAATTTTTGTTGTCAGAAAGAGGGACTAACCCATGTGATCTCTATACTATACCACAATATAATGAAGGCACGATTTCCTTCAAGGCCTTATTTTATTTCAGCATGGGAGAAAGATCTACAAATCTCCTTGACTAATGAGGAAGTGCAAACATCTTTTATATTAACTCATAGGATATATATTGCCTCTTCATATCAAGAGAAGGGGTATAAGATCTTATCTCGTTGGTAAAGATGTCCGACCCTCCTACATAGAATTTTTCCGTCAAAATCATCAATGTGCTGGAGATGTGGGAGTGCAGAGGGAACTTATCTCCATGTATGGTGGAACTGTGAACATATAATGCCTTTTTGGAAATATGTTTTTAAAATATGTAATCAGGTAACTGGCGCTGCTCCATCACCAAAAATAGCCCTTTTTTCAATTTTCTCAGGCTCGATATCCAGAAATAAAAAGGATCTTCTTAGATTCTTTGTGGCAGTAGCAAGAATACTAATTCCACCATATTGGAACACACAGAGAGTTCCAAATATCAAGGAATGGGCTGTGGAATTAAGTAAGATTCACAGATATGAGGAATTAACGGCACATATTAATGAACGATATTCTCAGTGGGAGTATATGTGGAAACCCTGGAATAGGTATAAGGATACGAATGCATGTGGAGTCTTATAATAAAGGGAGGAGTTTAATTTACGGTAGAGAAAAACATAAGAGCTATTTTAAGCAATATGGTAGTATAAAGGAAAAACAGGATTATAGGTTATCATTAGTATAGTGGAGACTATAGATGGGAGAGGAGGAGGATTGGGAGGAGAGATATAAGGGTGGGAATATATAAATATATATAAAGGTATAATATCAGATTTTTGCAGCTTTTCTTACAGATAAGTGTTGGAAAGATAGTGAATTGGGTGAGAAATAAATATTATGGGTGATATAATGAGATGCCCAATATGTATATGTATATGTATCTGCAAGGATACGTGAAATAGGGTTGTGCCTATCTAATGTATGTTATCTATGAAATCAATAAAATTGTATTATATATACCTCTTTCTGGGATATAAAACACTATCAGAAGTCAACAGAGTTCTGTTCCAATATAAAGCCTGAAAACTGCAAACACTCCAATCATATTTGCAAATTGTCCTTTCAGTACAAAATACGTATATACCAGCACTGAGGTAATTCTACTGATCTATAAGGTAAAGCATTTGCTGCATAGAAAACATTTCAGAAAAACAATAATCATATAATGCAATTAATATTCTGCATGCACGTTGTGAACAGAACATTTATTATTTGAAACTAGAAAATCCAGGATATGAATTGTGACTATTAATCTACTATTACCCAAAAATAAGAGTCGCACTAGAGATAGCATAGCAGACAGAGTAGAAAGCTTGTAATAAGAAAAATCAGTATTGGCCCATATCCTAAAGAGGAACTGAGCTCTGGAAGCTGTGCCCCCAAAAAGGGAAGGCAGAGAGCAAAGGACTAATCACCATTAGGCATGAGTGCTGGTTCAGAATGAACCTGGTCCCAACTTGAGCTTCTACGAACCCATAGGATCAAATATAGCAATGTGGCCATATAAGGTCAATGACATCACAGCATCCAGCCCTTTTGCTTATGTTCCCTGGCTGCAGATTATTGGACAGCTGCAGAAGGAGCTCCTTCTATTTTCAGAGGAACTCCTTCCATGTTTGGAAGCTCAACCCTTGCCACCAGTATTGCCTGATCTTCCTGCAGCAGATCTTTTCCCCATCACTGCCTTACCATGCTACTTTCTATACTGCTTCTCTGTTCAGAAGTAACCATCTTGGTAGAGGCATTCCCATGTCAGAGCATCAAGCAAGAGCAACAGTGAGCACCACAGTAGTGACCATCACCACATCTTACTCTAAATCTCACAAGACTAGCAGTCAGGGGTAAAAGTGCCTTACATTCACACTACAGATTTACAGGTATGATACTGTAGCCACAGAAGAGTCTAGGCACACTCACATTCTATACCAAGAAGTGCATTGCTATTTTTCAGGAGGGATTTCAGACAAGAGAACAGCTTAGGCACAATTAACATTATTAAGTGTTTCCTATACCATAGCAAAGCGTTCTTGGTTCTGTTCCACTTTAAGCTCTGTAACTGTTGCTTTACATACCCTTTTACTTGATTGCCATTTCCATGGTACTACCTAGCATAGTTATACCCTTACTGGCTCTTTACAGATTACATTGTCAACAAGCCCACCAGAACAGCTAGGCAATCATGGTCTATCTTTCTCTAGCATTCTATCCATCAATGGTAAATATCAAGGTTCCCTCGTTGTATTTGTCTAAACAATCCTGCACCCCTCTGTCCTTTAAGGTCCCTGTGCAGTAAAGAGGTAAAATCTCCATCCCTGGAGGGGTGATTACTGTGTATGGCTGTGGGGCGCAGTCAGGCTAATCTATGTGACTATGGATGGAGTAGAGAGCTCTTGGTGGTTTTTATCTTTCATCTAATGAATATGGTCAGCATTTGAAAATTGCATCCCAAGCAAAGACTAAAATACTCCTGAGATATTGCCAGGATAGAATAAACTTGTAAATAACTAAAAGTGCAGATGTTATATATCAAATAATTAAAGCCCAACTACTGTCCACACTGCCTTTTTTTATTGCTTTTGGATAGACTTTTGTAAACAAGTGTCTTCTGTCTGTCAACTTGTCTGTGACTCCTAGAAGGGAGATTTCACCCCATGTCCCAGTAACAGTAGGACAAGAATTGAAGGAGTGGTTGTAACTAGGAAAGAAAAATTTACACACAGCAATAATAACTTGGCAGGGGTTCTAATCCTTCCCAACTTACTGAAAAAGGTATTTCATTGTAGTCTGTTTCCCATCTGGAGATTTTACATGACTTCCTGTCTGGCAAGGAAGTAAATGAAAATCTGCCTAATAGCAATGCAGACCACAATTAAAATCTGACATACGTTCTATACCTTTCATACTCAACAGTGGCTCCTTAATATTAATGTTTGCCATTTTTATGCTTAGTGCAGTTCATGTTTTCTTACCTTGAATGCTTTGAGAACATGCTGTGTATTTCTAGGCTGGGAATAAGGCTTGGGTGTTAACATAGGCACTGCCTTTGAAACCACACTTTTTGTTGGTGATGTAGGACCCAGGGGTGCTTTAAAATCTGATTCAGAGGTTGGAGATATAGTTGCTTCTACTGTAGAAGTAAACTTTGGAGAAGGCAATGACTCCTGTCTCAGATACTTCAATGGGTTGGGGTCCTCAGATGAGGCGAGTAAGCCAGGCTCCACTGAATGGCTTCTCTCCAGAATTTTTGGCATCACTAAACGTTCAAGAACAGCTTCACTTATGGTAAACCTCTCAATGTATTTCTGCAGTATCTTCTCTGCTTCCTCTTTTGTCCTGGCACCTTTGTAAGCTTCATGCAATTCTTTCTCTCTTTGTTCTCTGTGGCAGAGATAAAAAGAAAATATAAGACCATGCCAAGAAATCTTTTTACTACACTACGCAGTTACTGCAGCTGAAAACCTACTTTTCCTCTACTATTTCTTTGTAAGTTTTTATGCTTTTCCTTCTTTCACTCAAGTCGGGTTCCCCACTAAGTAACCTTTCCATCTTTTTTCTTTCTGCTTCTTTCTGTAGCAAGTCTTGTGATGCACTTCTCCTGCGGGTCTTCCACCGTGCCAGGTCCTAAACAACAAAGACAGCACAATATTAATTCCAAGATGGAAGACACGTAGCCTGACCGACTAATAAATGCAAACTATAAAAGGTAAACAAAAATTACACACTATCAATCATAAATCTAAAGTCTTATTAGGCATCATATACAATTCACAAAGGCAGTGTACAGAGGAAGTTCAATGTCCAGCAACCAATTAACTGGAAGATATGTCAGATGATGGTAAAAAGAATTCTCATTACCTTCTATGACTTAATACACTTTAACATGCTTATTCCACAAGACAATAAGGTACCAACATTTCCCTCCTTTTGCCAGTATGGTGCTAACCACATCCTAATGACTGGCCTTTTCTGATGCTTAAAGATTTTCCACGTTATTGATGTTTACCTTGTATTATCTGAACACATCTTCTGAGACACATTCAGCATTTGCCAAGCAGGCAGGGTACAGCAAAATCTTCAGTACAAAGCATCCCCAACATATTTTGGACCTCATCTCAGAAATGGTGTGATGGTAATAAACAGAAAGACTAAGATAAACCTGCATTGTGCATATACACTGTGTGCGCAGTTTGATGGTTCGATGGTTTGATGGTTCTGTGATCACGACACAATTTCTTAGCAATTTCAAGAGTGCTGCATCCCTCTGAAAGACTTTTTACAATTTTTGACTTTTCAGTCAGTCAAATTTTATTTTTGGCCCATTGTGCCTGAGGAAAAGAAGCTGCCTAATCGTTATGCCCACCTTCATATAGGGTATTGATCTCCTAAGGCCACACCCTCCCTCATTACACAAATACACATCACCTGATATGCTTAAACCCAATAAGCCTTCAAGTTTATACAGCTTGGAATTAGGACAATAAGCATAAAAATGGTGATTTGGTCAAAATACTCACTTGCCTAATAATTGTGCACACAGTATATAGTGTCTTACTGTACTAAGGCATCATGCTATGTTTGCGGGTACTACATATGACCTACTAGTCAATAATTAATTCACCAATCAGTGATAAGCATTATCCTAGCACTGCCACTGTCCATTACTACTCATATTAGGTGAAAAAGGGACAAGTGTCTACATGCATGCACTCCAGCAATGGCTGCATGAAATTTCTCAGGGCATAATGACAAGAGTGGCCAATACTATGTATTGAAACTGCCACATGCAGTCATAATTGGAAACCTGTGTGATATGGGGGGACAATGCAGGTGCATAACTGGGAAACAGGGAGTTTTTTCACCCTATAACAAGAAGTGCCTAAACAAGACCATCAGACAGAATTACGAGGTATTATTTTAATGAAAGCTGCAAATTTAAAAAGATTGAAAATTACTTTTGAAATTACATTACCACACTAAAGCTTATTTGAAGGGTTTATGAATGGGTTCACTTTAACCAGTTCAGTACTAAAATCTGTATATCTCTCGGGGACCAGAACAATCTTTACAGGTTCTCAGAGAGTGAACTGACTTCACTGGTTCCTCCTCCTGCACCTTGCTTCCCTTATGTGCTGAAAATCAGTAACATGTATTTATAAACACACACACATAGCATCTTTTAGCCAGTGGCTGGAACCATCAGTAGAACTACCTACATCCTGCCATGTATCATCCTCCTCCTTCAGCAGATCATTGACAAACTGCAAGTGTTCATGGTGAGCTCTGCTGTGGGGCAGCATACTTCCCTCCTCTTCATATCTCATATCGCACATGCTCACACTCCTGAAGAATACAAAAAAAAAACCCCACAGTTACTATCTATTTTCATTTGATGTATTCTGGAGAATGACCACAAGATGGCACTCCATGCAATCATTTAGTAGAATGCTATAAATCCGAGTTTCCATATTTTCCCTATCAGAGCAGACATTACAGAGAATGCATTTTTAGCAGAACAGTTCTAAAATACATGCATGTGTTTTTCCAATGGTATGTATCTTATGATTAAAAAAAGCCCTGCATCTCAAAGTTGATTTTATTATGTACTGTATATACCGGGGATAATTACCTTTTGCTTTAGATAGATAGATAGATAGATAAGCAATACAAGCAATCACAAGTCAGATTTCTCATTTGTACACACAAATGTGACCGGCGACTAGAAAAGGACTAATACAATTATTTCTATGTCACATCCATTTATAGTAGCTGATATACTATACTACTACTATAAATGCATTTGTTATTCATCTAAGGAACTGTAAACAGAGAAAGAACCATTACTCAAAACATAGAACTCCAGCAATATCTTTGTTTCTCCTTCTAGACTGCACTAATTAAATAACCACAGACATGTGAAAGGCTCCAGGGTAAAAGCTCTACTGAAAAGTAACGAGGAATAATTGGCTTTGCTAAACTTACAAGCTGAAGTCTTCCAACTCTGCCCCAGCATTCAGAGAGATACATCCCTGCAACTATACCCTTCAGCTGGTACAATTTCACATTGCATAAAACAATCACACGTTTAGGCTGGCAGACCAGACTGACAGATTCTGCCACTGCAAATTAAGCAGCAGTATCAGGAATGCAGAATTCAGTCATGAATTAAAAAAAATAAGACTTTGTAAGGCCAACAGGGCTCTCTGCATTCTGGGACAAACATCTCACCTGATCTGCAGGTAATCATACCATGTACGATTACCTGCAGACAGCCGCGGTCACCCTGTCAATTACTTCAGTGGCCACAGTTGCTGCATCTGTGAAGACACACTGGGGATTCCTGCTGCACTTCAATACTACCGAGACATACAGAGCTTAATGTACAGATGGGCTTCATGTACATACAGAGCTTAATGTACAGATGGGCTTCATGTACATACCTATAAGAATTTAAAAGGGACATGGACACAAATTAAAGGAGTTGTGTTCTGTCGTTTTATTGTTTATTGCCAAAAGACATTATATTGTTGGCAATACAAATGTCATATGTACTGCTTCTCATTCCTGTCATTATATAAAGATTATAGAAAAGAAGAGAAAAATCTTGAGGGCTTAAAGCAGAACTCCACACAGGAATAAAAGACACAAATCAATGCAGTTCCGTTTTAATTAGTACATAATTAAATGTATTTTTAAATGCAAGAAGTGTATGTACTGAATGGGACTTGGTATCAGCCTCTTGCATTCGCTTTACAGCAGAGCTCAGAAAGGCGGAGGGAGAACCAGCATAATGAGTAAATCAGGTGGGCTGCAGTGCAAAGGGCATGCTAACAGGATGAAGGAATGACAGAGAGAGGAGTTCAGCAGTGTGCTGCGTCTCCTTTTACTGTCTAATCACTGGTGGGGTGGGGTAGGGGGGAAACACGTAAATGAAGGTGTGGCACAGCTGTGCAAATCTCAGAACTGGATGTATAGAAATATACATTTATTGGCAGGTTACAGCTACCTTTTATGTATTTCATCTGTGTTTTAGGCTGCTTGCCTTATGCTTAAAGCTCAACTCCAGGCAAAGTGCAAAATTGATGTTTGCAGTGCACTTTACTATGGTAGGACTATATATATATATATATATCGCTGCTGAATAAATCTCTAATTGGTATGAGTATGCAATACACCCTAGACTGCCCTGAATTCAAAACATGGTTAGCTCTTATGATTATATTTACACTGGTATATAAAGAGAACAATACGCCCATAACATTTTTTATTTTGTTACACACCTTTCACTCAAATGTTTATTTTTTTGATCATATGGAAAACTCTAAACTTATACAGTGCTCACTCAGAGTCTTGACATTCTGGTTGGTGGCTACCACCTACTATTTGCTGGGCACACTGGTATATGTTTCTTTCACAACAGGACCTATTTTAAGCCTCAGCCTACTTAATGTAAGCAATGTGGCTTAGAATTCCACAGATCCACCACTGTGGTTCTCTAATAATCTCCTTTGAATTTCTTTTTGAAAACAAAAGATGATTGCTTTGCAGAACAGTTTACTTGTTCATCATCATCCCCTTAAAATTGCATACAATCTCTTATTTCCTGTACATCAAACAGGTCACACAAATAATGGCACTGCTAAATTCATAGAAGCATAAAAAGAACATTCCAACCTGTGTGTATATATGGCCATCTCAATTTATGAAGCTGTCCAAATATTTAATGAAGAGACTTACTGAGAAGGGCAGGATCGTGTCAGCACTGAGATCCCACATATGTCCAAAATACAGCTATATAGTTAATTCCCCCCCCCCCCCGAGTTCCATTAAAGCAAACCTTTCTAAACTACCCTTTTAATCTACCTCCAGGAACCTTCTAGTGCCGGCACACATTCGGTTTTCTTCAAAAGTGGTCAGACAGCCCTGTAACGTGAGGGAACTCTATTATGCAATTACGGTCTTTCAGCTTGGGAGGATGGCAATTTTGGTCTGACCCCTTCCACATTCTGCACCTCACTACTAGTTGGTGAAACTACACACCATACTGACAAGCCAGTCGTGAGGCAAGACAGGAAAGAGTGGACAGCCCTAAACACCTGGATCATTTTTCAATTAGACTTTAATACAAGCCATAGCAATAGCATTGTCGTCACAGAGCATTAGGGGTTTTCTAAAAGACGTGCACAACGGTAACTGTTTGCCTTCATACTCTTCCTCTCTGATTAAAACTCCATACCACTGACTGAATGGAGGCTGCAGGGAGGGAGAGGGAGGGGATACAGAACCATCAGTCTCATTCAATTGTGTGCATAAATGTTGGCTTGGGCCAGTAAACAGCTGGCTTTTTACAACAGAACAGCCATGAAATGTATATGAATGAAAAAGAATACCAGAGCTCCACTTGATAGCTTGGAATGTAAAAATAAAATATTCACATTGCAGGCTTCATATTTACCAGACAAAAACATTATTCCTGATTATAATAAATATATTTGCAGCCACTAGTATATGTGTCTGTGCACAAGGGCATTTTTCTTGTGTTTCTGACATACCTTGTGAAGCAGTTTGGAAGGATATGCAGTTCAGTGTTTGAATTTTGAACTGGATCTTGTTGAGCAGAGTTCAGTTGCCTTTACTTAGTTGCTTATTGCATCATGTCCTGTTCTGCTTCACCTGAATTGCTTTTATCGCTCAAAGTCGAGTTGCATGCAAACAAAAGCAATTCAAATGCACCTCAAACTGATTTCAAACTTATCTCACATAGGCAATGCATTATCTCTGCTAGAATCTGAAAGCATGCCGTTTCATTTGCTTCGGACACCCATGCAATGCATTGAATGGAATTTTTTTTGGGCAGCTGTGTGCAGTCTTCAAAATACACTGGATATGAGACTTGCCAACACTGTCCAGCCCTGGACAGCATGGCAATGTGTCTGAATGGTTACATTGCGTTAGCACCCCAAAAATGTAACCAGTGATAGTTCATTAGTTTGTCTCTTTGGGTCAAACCATATCAAATGCATGTATTTCCCTTAAAGAGTACAGGTGAAACTCGAATAATTAGAATATCGTGCAAAGTTCATTTATTTCACTAATGCAACTTAAAAGGTGAAACTAATATATGAGATAGACTCATTACATGCAAAGCAAGATAATTCAAGCCGTGATTTGTCATAATTGTGATGATTATGGCTTACAGCTAAGAACCCCAAATCCACAACCACAAAAAATGAGAATATTACATGCAATCAATGAAACAAGGATTGTACATAGAACAATATCGGACCTCTGAAAAGTACAAGCATGCATATGTACTCAGTACTTGGTTTGGGCCCCTTTTGCAGCACTTACTGCAATTACTTTTGCACGATATTCTAATTATTCGAGTTTCACCTGTATGTAATGCCATTTTTTCCATTATGAATGCAATTTTGGAGGGAGGCCTTAGGATGCCTTTCATCTTTTTTTGCCATCTGTGTCCCAGCAATAAGAATTCTCTTCACTTTTTGTCCCATAGATACAGCAAAAAGTGAAAGGAAATCTCACCAAAGTGAGGAGCTATCCTATTGGAAGATTACACCTTACCTACTGTTCCTGTGTCAACTTAAAAATGTTGAATTTTGGGTGCTTGCAGCACTTTGTTCGGACCAGACCGCAGGCATTGTGTGCCTTGCGTTCCCGTGCGACCGAAGGGCATGGCTACGGTGCCATTCTCTTCAATGGACTGCTACGTCCACTCCTGCCCCACAACATAGTCGGCCGCAATGTGATGCAGTGCAATCCGGCCAGAATCGGGTAGGAACGCACTGTATCTGGTGTGAACGAGGCCTAAAAATGCTAGCTACCCGGCAGTGCTGACCCTCTTGTTTCAATACATTAAGAAGTATGTGGATGAGGACTTTTCCCCAACTTTCCTAATCTTCATACTTGTTCTGGGTTAGTGACTTAAGCTGGCCATATACGGTTATATTTTCGTTGTTCAACCTGTGGGCTTAACGAGCAAATCATAACAGATTTCTCCATCAATGCTTAGGAGTGTGGATGGAGGAAACCCCCGCTGCTTTCACTTTTATTCTGACAGCAGCTGTAGGCACCCACTGTGAAAATTTGGGTCAGTTCATTAAGAACTGGCGAAATTTTGCATAGTGTATGGCCAGCTAAAGGAAGTATTGAAGCCAGAGGGCAGCCAAGTAGCGAGGTAAAATTTTCTGAAGGAAGTCAACAATAGCAGATCCCATCTGTCTCTCAAAACATGTTTAATTTAACGTATCTGTAGTTAAACAATAAAGCTTGGCCAAAGACATGCCCACGTGTGACTGTAGCAGACTGATAACACCTCTCTATTTAGAATTAATGGCACATCGTAATCGCATACTGATTTTGGTTAAGCGACTCATTAAATAGTGAAGGACTCTCAAAAAAGTATTAGCAGGTCCTTGATTTCTAACCCGTTAGATTCCTTAGAAAATACTGATTAAAACTTGGCAAACGGCATAAAGAAAGCATAAAAATATAAATGTCTGTGTTTACTATCCAGGTAAAACTTCCCTGCATTACACTCAGCTCAGTGGACCCAGGAAACCGATATCTAAACCTTTGATATTCTTTTGGGTAGAATACAATGGGAAGGGTGTATTTATTGAAAATTTGTATTTTATAATTGTATTTAACATTTATTTATGTTTGCCTCTGCAGCCTTGATGCTAGATTAGGTTTTTGGAAAGGCCACCTGCATGGCATTGGAAGGATTCCCATCAAGGGAAGAAGCAGTTAATTGACAGAGGAACCTTATACTACTGGAGCAGCAATACTATATAAATAGAATTGTATACGCTGCCTTCCTCTACCTACTACACACAAAACAGAGTCCAGTGATCTGGATGGGCTATTGCTAAATTCTTACGGAAAAGCTGTATTATTGGAATGACCGTACATTCTTAGATATGGAATAAAACTCATGTGGAAGTTCTAAATATGTACATTGTTTAAGCCTTGCACACAAAGCCAGGATTTTAATAAGTCATGCATCAGTCAAGCTTTGCATCGGGGTGTAGAAAGGCCAAGTAATAAGCACTCAAATAGCACCAAGTAAAATGGCATCTGAAAAAGTAAATTATTAGTTGCATGCTTTGGAAAGGCGTTCAGCAAAGTTACTGGTAAGTTCTCAGCATTAAGAGGAAACATATCATTTATAAACACATGCACTAGTCTGTTATAGAGGCTCTCCAAGCACAGAATGCAACTTACTCCGCGTCATCTGACAGAGACGACCGTGTGCTGAATCTACAAGACCAAATACACAATTAGATTAACTTGCAGAAAAATCAATGAAAGGACCACTATAGTAGTCTGGTACTGTGTGTCAATAATACCTATAATAAGATTCAGTATATACATTTCTTTTTTCCACGCGCTTTTATTTATATTTTTTTTACCTTTACATCCATACATCAAAAGTGACAGTTATAGGGGTTGGGACAAACCATATAAACACTGACAAGAGTGTGTACAATGGTCAGCTTTTATTCTTATAATTGGAACCTCTTTTCCAAAGAAATAAAAAAACATGTTACCGTAGCTGCCTGAAAATGTTAGCTGGAATTGGAATTGATTTGTTATTTATTTAAAACTACATGTTTATTCAATACTACCCTGTACAAAATGTGACAACGCTGTTGCTTGATTTCACTACACAATGAACAGTGTTGTCACTCCACTGTAGGACGTGGAAAAATTACGGATCTACTCGCAGGAACAACAAGTTTCTCCTTATGGCTTAAAGCTCTTTTCCAGAGAAAAAGAAAAAACACATTATCGTAGCTGCTTAAAGGAGAACTATGAGGCGAGTGCTTTTCACTCACCTCATAGTTCTAGCCGACCTGTGACAATGAGACTGTCACAAGTCGGCTCAGTAGATCGGGAGGTGAGCTAACATATACCGGCGTTCGCTGACCTCTCGATCCTGTCACGGCTCTCTGCCGTGACAGGGGGAGGGGCTGGATTCCCCTCTCCGATCTGCCAGCGCTGACTGGCGGAACGGACGGGGGAGGGGGCGGATACAGCTGGCTCTGCCTCTAGATAGGCAGAGCCAGCTGTCACTCACGCAGCTGGGCGGATCCCGTCATGTAAGTCGTGATCCGCTCCGGCTGCGGCGTCTCAGTATACCGCGAGCTGTAGCACGCGGTATACGGAGCTTAGGGTAACGGGAGGACGCTAGTTTGTGTCCTCCCGTTACCCTAAGCAGAACTATGGGGAAAAACACTGACCCCATAGTTCTCCTTTAAACATGTTAGCTGGAATTGCAATTAATTTGTTATTTATTTAAAAGTACATGTTTATTCAAGACTACCCTGTACAAAATGTGACAACGCTGTTGCTTGATTTCACTGCACAATGAACAGTGTTGTCACTCCCCTGCAGGACATGGAAAAATGACGGATCTACTGGCAGGAACAAGTTTCTCCTTATGGTTTGAACCTCTTTTCCAAAGAAAAAAAAAAACACGTTACCGTAGCTGCTTAAAAATGTTAGGTGGAATTGCAATTAATTTGTTATTTATTTAAAAGTACATGTTTATTCAAGACTACCCTGTACACAATGTGACAATGCTATTGCTTGATTTCACTTCAGAATGAACAGTGTTGTCACTCCACTGAAGGACATGGAAAAATGGCAGATCTACAAGTAATAAAATTATGTTAAGAGGCACGCACTCGGAAAACATCTAAAACTGGTGTGTTATTGACAGACTACAGCGTATGTCATTTATTTTCTTTCAATAGTTCTACTAGCTGTCTCAAAATGACACATAAAAGGTCCACGCTGGGCTTGGGCAGCCTGCATCCTCTGCACATCCTAGCTTGGTAAAGGAAGGACCTATAGGTTTTCTATACAAATGAAGGGTGAATGTCTAAGCTTGCCTGGCAAGCAAATTCACCTCTGCAACCACACATGTAATTAAGCATTCTGTAGTATCATAATAAGGATTTATTTTTTTTTTTTACTAAAACAAGAATGGCTACAACATCCACTCGTAAATTAAAAAACTGCTGCTGGGGCACAGGAACTGACATTCATAATACAGCGCAACAAGCTGTCAACACAGCAATGTGAAACATATTCTAGAAAAAGGGAATTAAGTGGAAAATCATGTTATATTTGTATACACACGTCCATACATTTATATAAGCATTCTCTAACACACACAGTATAATCTTGCAAATCTTTTCACTTCAATTTTAAATTATAAGAATAAAAAAGGATGGAGAACTGCTTGTTGACAAATGATCTGACCTCGATACTTCTCGGTCAGGACTTTCAAGAGATTCTTGTGGTGGTTGGGATTTAAGCTCTGCACATATGGGATTATTCTCAATGGGGTTGCAAGCTGGTTGACACATCAGATCATCTCTTAATTCAGTGGGCTCTTCTTCTGTGCTCTGCTGTAGTGTCTTAGACGGACTGTCAGACCTGACAGCGGTATGGGCTTGGGGGGTGTTATTTGGAGTAATTGTGGTCACATGAAGAGAGCTAAGGAAGTAATTTCAGAAGATGTTACATAAGATATAGAACAGGGCTTTAAACCTTTCAAAATAGATAGCTTTATGGAAATACATAGACGACTGCACAGGCCAGGAGGCACACCAAAATCTGAAACACATGACTAAGTACTGAAACAGCTGTGCAAGATGTATAATAAACTATTAAAATCAGGTCAAAAATTAAACTTAGAAGTCAACACTTCAGCAGAAGACTAGACACAATTTAGACACCAAGTCTACCAGTTATCAATACTGAATACAAAGGTTTCTAAATCACAAGGTTGACTTATGTTCATCTGGTCTGTATCATGATATCATGGAGTCACAGTGCATTTCATTTCCAATTGGTCCGCTAGACCAATCTGTTCATTTTTCTGTAGTATGATGTTTAAATAAATCCACAATAAGTGTACGCTTTAATGTATTCTTTACATTTATTTACACTTTTCTGACCTGATGGGCTTCTTTTCCTTTGGTTGGAAGATGTGTGACTTCTCTTCAGTCTTTTGTAGAGAAAATGGTACTGGAAGGAAGTGAGTTAGAGTTACCCCAGGTGGTCTCTGACTCACAGAGATCCTTCTGACCATCATATCATCCTTTTCTGGATCTGGTGTAGCCCTGTCGTTCTGCAAGCTGGTGTCTTCTTTACATACATCTTCCTCTGAATTAAGCTGTACGGCATGCGTCTCAGGTTTGTCATTTAAATTAGATTTCATATCAACTGTAACTTCAGGAAGTATGTCCTTACTCCTACAGGAACATGTGTTAGGATGTTGAAAAATAGGCAGTTCTAAAGTGCACAACATGCTTCATTCCTTCAGGACAATGTTAGAGTCTTGGACACACTTTAGTCAAACCACAAATCCAAACGGTTTAGTATTCTTTATGCACAATATAAAGTTATCATAAAACAGTAACACAATAATCATGCAGAGTCTCTGTTAAGTTGAACACAGAGCACACAAGATGCTCACAGGAGTTGATCATCATCTTCCAATGACTGTTTATTTTCCTTAAGTTTAGCCTTTGGGGTCTTCACATTTTCATTATGTATATTTTGCTGGTTGTCATCGGTACTAGAAGAGGGATGGCCAACTTTGACACACTTCTGGAAAGTGCCAATTCGTCGTGCTAACATGTCATCACGTTGGGAATCTGGTAACGGTCCACCATGCTCACAGTCATTGTCTGGAGACACATCTGGGATTTTGCTGACTTCTGCCGTACATCTATTCAACAAAGTGCAAGCACCATTTCCCAGCATGGAAGGAACAGGAAGCAACATAATAAATCATGAGAACATCACAAAAAAAGAGGTCACTAGAGAAAACATTCTTGTCAATTCTCTATGAAATATTTAAGACAGAGGTTGTAATTCTGTCCTTCCACTACATATAGACAAAATCCCATGCCAGTTTTAATACATGGAAAAAGACATATGGTCTGGGTTATAAAACTTTGTTGCACAAAAATAAAATAAAAATTCCAGTGATACATTAAAAGCCAAAACAGAATTATTCCTGTGCTTTATTAATATAAAGAGCTGTATCGTTCATGTTGGCAGAAGAACATTATCACAGGTATGACAAGTCACACACAGCCACTGAAATCATGCAGTATACCTCAACTGGCATTGTAGATGTGTTACTGGGACGGTGTCCACGGTCTGAACAGTCGGAGCACTGTCTGAGATTACTGCTTTGGCATATGCAATGTCAGAGGCATTTTCATCGCTTATATTTGCCTCACTAACACTAGGTTTGGAAATACAGAGCTTATCCCATCGCTTCTGGTCAATCTCAGTAACTGGGCCAAAGTGGACAAATTTTTGTTTGTTGCGAGCCCTCTTCTCTTGCAGGGATAACTTGCGTCTACCAAAGTCATCATTGGCTGCTCGGCTTGCATCAATTTTTGGTGTTTGGCCATTGCTGGGTGTCTGTTCACTTTGTTCCAAAAAAGAAGAAAAGAAATAAAAAATGAACTTGCATTTTAAAACATATGTAACTTTAAGTGATTTTAATGGTGCAGTGAATGTTTGGTGCCAACCAAGGGTTTATTAATTAGTAAGCCATGTGCTATAACTATCATTACATCATCATAACAATTTCAGTATATAAAAGTGCTAAACTTTTAGCGACATAAAACAGACCTTGAGTGCTGTGTAATATGTTGCCATGGGTTCAGTCACAAGGAAATTATGTACAATACTATACGTATGTGCAAAAGTGGAGTAACTACTAGTGTGCCAAGAATGGTTTTGGGGCTTCAATTCAGTTTATGAGAGTAATCCATTTATAGATAAATACCACAGATAAAGCTAGGTTATGTTTAGTCCAACAGCCTTTGTCAGGTGCAAGATGAAGGTAGTTGGGCCAGAAATATTAAACTGCTATTAACTGTGGTATTTTTCAACACATAGCTTAATCTCATAACCTCAGTGGAGCCCTGGAACCATTCTTTGTATATAAAGAATTAATTTTGCACAGAATGTGGGTTGTATAGACCAGCTGAAAGGAATTTTACTATACTAATCTTAAAAAAAATCTGTGGGGAAACCAACACTGAAAAAGCCACACCTCTCTTCGGAAGACAGCTTAAGCCTCTGCCAGGTTGCCAAGTCAGCCCTTGTTATTGAGCCTTTACTAAAAACCAAAGGCTCCTTCTGCTGTTTGACCGAACCATGTGTTTTACGCTTGGCCAGATCGTCCTTCTGAATGTCTGGTACTTTCTCCTCTTCCTCTTGGTCAGACTCGTTGTCTATGGGCCTTTGAGCGAAATTTTCCTTTAAAATGGTCATCTTCTCCGCCGGTTGGTCTTGATGTTCTTTCTTGCTGCGCATAGTAAAATTTCAGAAGGCAACCTGGTTATGTCATGGACTTCATGCCCACAGATTTTATGGCCATGCACATTTTGTTCATTCACATCAGATGCAAAATCATATATTTTTTTCAAGTATATATGGATAATTATAATATAATGTCTATATGGGCTCTAGAATATTGCAGTAGTATGATGTAAAGCTATCTGTATATTCAGGTACACTGCAAGCAGTTTTGAGAAACCAGGAGAAGTGTGCTTTCCTTGATTTCAAGTAGAAACACTGTCTAGAGGTAGGTGTATTTTTTAGGCACGATGGCTTCCCTGGGTTTTCTGGAATTTGTCCAGTCTATGCTATAGGACTGGTCTTTGTTACCCTAATAAACATTGGAAAAATTGACAGAGGTCCAATTAGGCTTTTTCTAAGGCACAAGGCTAAGTGCAAAAACATCCATTCTACCAAGAGCCTCTATGTCACTATAGCTCTGTTCTGGTCCTTGATGGCTGCCAGTAGTGCATGATTTCCAGCTCTGTTCATAGAATGACAGGTAACATAGTCAATGTGCTTCTTTTAAACAGTCTCTTATACTTGGGAGACTGCAAGATATGCACTGCAGGCAGCAACAGAGAATGAGTGTTAAGAAAGTGTGCTCTAGAAGAAAGCCAAGCTTTGAATAGCAGACTGTAACAGGAAATGCAACACACTGGTAAACAAACTCATGCACATTCCACTGGAATTAAAATCAGAGAATTCTGCAAACCTTTTATCCATGGTATGTTTGAAGGAGGCAGTGGTGGCACTCGAGTCCGAAGAAGGCTTTGTTTTGGTAATATAGGATCCTATATATTGATTAAAAGGTGTTGAAACTTTAGGTTGGTTCATCCTTGCTCTGCGTGTCGCCAAGTCATCTCGCTCAATATCTGGCATTTTGCACTCTTCTTCCTCTTCAGAATCCTCATTAGCTGGGTGGCTGTTCTCTTTCCGTAGCACAATCCCCACGGTTTCATGGTCTTCTGCAAATTGCTTTGGACTAAGACAGTTACAGTGATATTACGCAGCAATTCTTTTGAAGGAGTACACATCAAACCACGCAAAATAAATCTGTTACATGCAGAGGATATTAGTAGTTAATTGTGATGTACTCCAGTTCCAGGCTCAAAAAAAGCTTAGAGAGCAAAGTATTTGTTACAGAACAGGAACATTTCCTGAAAAACCAAAACATCAGAATAACGTTTATCAAACTGGATTTTGTCACACACAGCATATGCTTACATATGCAGGCTGAAGTTAGTGTGGTTGCATTTCAATTAAGTGTCCCTTTACAGTCGACTTACAGTGCTACAAGTATGATGTGCTGCAGTTATGTGCATATGTGTTATATGCTACAGTTCTGTACATTTTGGAATAATACATTTGTCTTTCATATACAATGGAAATGTTAATTCAGTTTTTTTTTCTGCTAGACAGAAAAGCCTTTCCGCAAATCCAGGTCTGGACATCTGTTTTTGCCACATAAATAATATTGTGTGTGTGTGTGTGTGTGTGTGTGTGTGTGTGTGTGTGTGTGTGTAAACTTTGAAGATTTGAACATGAAGGACTCTCTCAGTAATTAGCTTGTAAGTCTTAAGTGCCAATGAGCACCACGTAAAAAAGCAGATTTGGCTATTTTGAGCAACTGATAAACATACTAAGATCATGTTGGAATAAAGTGTACAAAGTGTAAATGATTATTAGAGTTATACCATACAAATCCAAAACAATAAAACAAAACAACACAATGGGTTTTATTGTATAACATTTTGCAAATTTACAATGTGCAGCATTCCACAGCAACCAAACAGCAGCCCTCAAACATGGATTATTGATAGGCTGGCTTAAGTTGTAACAGTAAATTCGTCACTGCTTGGTATTATCAGGGCCGGATTTCCAACAAGGCCAACCAAGGTCCGGTCTCGGGGCAGCAGGGAGTAGAGGGGCAGCAGGGGTGTGGAATTCCTATCTCCCGATGCCCGAGCGGGTAGTTATTTTCTACATTTAGCCCTTCTTTGGGCAAGCAGAGCTAAATGTACAGCAGGGAAGCAGGGAAGCCACCGCTTGTTTTCTACAAGTGAACTTGGCGACATTGTATGCAGCCTGCAGGTCTGCCACTCTCCATGGGGGAAGGGGGGGTTGGCGGGTAGGGGAGCGCATTGAGAAACCCGGCCTTGGGGCAGCAGAGAGAGAAAATCCGACCCAGGGTCTTATTAAATAAACACTGAAGCCTTGCAAACCACAAGCTCATGCAGATGGTAAAACTATACTATGCAAGCAGTAAACTCTGACAATCTTTTCCATCACAAACATATTATTCTTTGTTTTTAGCAAGCCTGTAGCTTGCCACTATTAACTAATCAAAGTAAAAAGGCCACTAACTGAACATTTCGAGGTAAAACTGTATATTGCTAATAACTGCCAGTCAATTAGGAAACTTACATCTGTGCTAATTATATACATTAGGCAGATGCATTTTTCTCCTCTACAATAACTGGCACTATAGAATATTTCTCTACAGCGCCTAAAAATGCATTCTTGTTTTACTTTCACATAGATTTCTCACTTAGATTGTGAAGAAAGAAAGATGATTTTTATACAATATATGAACTCTTCTTAAAGGGCAATTCCAAAATATGGTTAAAAAAAACCCTGCAAGGTTTGTGAAATCTAGAAGTCATTAACATCTTGAAAGAATCAAACATAAGCGGCCTTTGCTGAAATCAAAGCAAACCAAAGGAAAGGAGTGACAAAACACAGCAGTTATTTAGCAGTAGTTCTTAGGCTATTGGTTATGACCTGTGGCAACTGGCAGCATTCAGGAATTGATGCCATACTAGACTTAAGTCAAAATTTACCTTCGTACATTGTTTTTTTGGGACTACTTTTAATGTGCAGTTATACGTATAACAAACAGACGTGGGGTACACTGATGTCCTTTTGGAATAAACTGCCTCATATTTGCATATTCCTCAACTCTTCTCCCATGATTAGTTTATGCTACACAAGAAATGGATGTACATGCTTCCATATAGATGACCACTTTCACAAACCAATACTACAAAAATGCAAACGCCAGCATTCTCACTGTTGGGCCCTAACCTGTTGTAACGCTTTGTTGCAGGCATGACCTTTATTCCAACTTTTTGAAGGCTTTTTAATTTCCGGGCCTCCTCATCTTCATTACCGGAAGGCTGATCCTTTACATCATCTTCTTGCTGATCAAAATATCCTTTAAGTTTTTCAGTTATTCCTAACTGTCCTTTAACAGAGATCAGCGAGGAGGCTCCATGTTCTCCATTCTGCCCCTCACCGTGTTCCTCCTCAATTGTTTCAGGGTGGCTGGGGCTATTGAGTAGTTATACGTTAAAACAGAGCACAATTGGATTAACACAAATCAGCGTTTACAAAGATGTCAAATCCAGCTTCATTGTTGTCGTAGTAATATTGACTGCATTTACAGCAATGTAAATGCTGTAAATAAAGGTAATGACAGCATTTGGGGACACAGCGATGTGAACATTTTGATGAGACTTATCTGAAAAGGATCATACAACTGATCTGTTCCTTCTGATCCCAGGATCTGGTTTTAATTTGGGTGCGAGAGCCATATTCAAATAATGCAGGATGAAAAAATCAAGCACAACAGAGGTTAACTGGTAATATGGCTTTGTTTAGGGGTTAGGCTAGTGTTAATTCTAGCTTCTAGGGGTTATGTGTTGTGGAGGGGGGTAAGGAGTTCACGGTTAAAAGCAAGGTCCTTCTCCAAGCTAGTAGATGAACAGCTGTGGGAGACTGTGCTGTCCCTTGTGATGTTGTACTGGACAGGAAATTCAGGAAAGTGAAGCTCAAAGCGTTTGAATCATGATAATTGTAACTACTTGAACAAAAATGTGGAGAAATGTTTTGCTGGGCAACGTATATCTGTTTGATCTGATTTCAATATTGAAAAAAAATCAGAGGTTAATACTAATTTATAGCTTAAGTATTTAGTATTGAGGGCTTAGGTTAGATGTGTTGGGGTGCCTTGACAAAGTTATAATGTACTGCAGAACACAAGCAGTCACGATTCATGAATTGAATGACTGCAGACTGGATGAATCTGCACATACCATATATGGTGAGACAAATAAAAAAATAAAAAATAAAAAATGTTTAAAAGTCAACCTGCTCATTTCCAATCAAGATATTTTAAAAGGGTCACACAAATGTTTTTAGCATAATTGTGCATTATTTGTGAAAGTGCGCAAGTGCTCATTGTGCCAATCTAGACATTTTGGCACAATGAGCACTTAAAGGAGAATTATGAGGCAAGTGATTTTCACTCTGCCTCATAATCTGAGCCGACCTGTGACAATGAAACTGTCACATGTCGGCTCAGTAGATCGGGAAGTGAGCGAACACATACCGTTGCTCACTTCTCGATCTATCCCTGGAGAGAGCCGTGACTGTCACTCACGGCTCCCTGCAGGTATTTCCCCCCTCCCCTCTCCGATCCTCCAGCGCTGACTGGCGAAACGGAGAGGGGAGGGCACAGCTGGCTCTGCCTCTGGATAGGCAGAGCCAGCTGTCAATGCCGTAGCTGGGTGCATCCAGACAGTATTGTCGGGATCCGTCCTGGCTGCGGCGTCTCAGTATACCGCGAGCTGTAGCTTGCGGTGTACTGAACTTTGGGTCATGGGAGAACGCTAGTTTGTGTTCTTCCGTGACCCTTAGGGGACTTATGGGGAAAAGCCCTGACCCTATAGTTCTCCTTTAATCACTTTCACCAATAATACACAGACCCCTGGTAAAGCTCTAATATGGATGAAACATTATGCAATACCCCATTTTAGGGTTTGGTTTTTTTACTGCCATCTGTGTAATTTTTTAAAACATGTCCTTATGCGTGAAGGAATAAAGGGAGTTAGAGTGTCTGTCAGGTATTTATTGCTGCACCCCAGCTTTGTCCTAAAAAGTTTATGGCAGACTTCAATTTTAATTATCACTCTGAATAGAGTCAATTTCCTTACAATAAGCATGGTTGTTTTGGCATCTCTGATATACCAAACTGCCAGGGGCCATGTGGAGATGGTTTGATTTTTGTTCTTGTGTGTGGCCTCTCCTCAACATGTCATAGATGGCAGGCCTGAGCCACAAAATAAAACTAAGCTCTTCTAATGCAATGCAATCCGTGATTTACTGAGTGCCCAATGGCATGATTCAGAGGAGAGGGTGAGCACAATGACAGAGAGCACTGTGCTACGTATTAGTTAATCTCCAACAGCAAAATAAATGGATATTTTTGTTCATGGGTTATAGTTAGAAATGTAAGTAACTGCATATTCTAATATAATATCCTATTGCTCAGAAACACTTAAGTTCTTTTCTCATGACAACTTTGTATATAATATTTCTCACATATAGGTGATATATTGTAAATCCAGAAAATTATAAAAACAACACACACGGTGCCCTAAGCTTCCTTACCTAATCATATACCAAGTCAGTTCCTAATTCATTTTTTACCTCCCTTTTCTTAGTCACAGCATGCACAATGGTCCGTTTGTCCAATTCTTGTGCCCCGTGTTCAGCAGACCACCTAGAGAGGGAGCCTGCCAGGGTTTTCATCATCTTTGACTGATTGACCCAACACACTAACCATGCATAATCCTCACCACAATCAGGGAGAGCAGCCAACAAAGAATAAGAACAGTTTGCATATGCCATATATCTAATAAACTGTGGTGAAATATAAATCGAACTGTAACCGCATCAGCTATCTCGTATCTGCTCTGCTTATATTTCTAGTCATTGTGAAAGAACTGCATTTTTTTCCAAGTCAAGCCTCTGAATACAGTTTTTATGTAAACCATGTGAACATGGTTTATGTTAAACTGTCTGCATGCAAGAGAGGTCTGCTTTTGTTAGAAAAAAGACAGGCTGGAAGTTACAGAATTCTGCGTCTTTCCAGCAACAATTTCTGGAACCGGACCAAAGCAGCTACTTCCAAGATAACTGTGTGCTGTGCTAGGAATACATGTGCAGTATTCCACAGCAGTAACATTACTCCTGTCTGCTGCTACTACACCAAAAGCAGCAGGTGCACACAAAAATACAACTTTTGGCCTTACATACACTTTAAAATTTATTTAATGCTTGTTAGGAATATGTAGATATTTGAATGTCCATAGTCTGGCCTAATTTCTTCTTTTTGCTTTATACAGCGGACACAGCAGCACAGTTACAATAGTAATGCATATAGTGGACAGTGACCAAAATTTGCAGTGTGGCAGTTTTGGCATTTGCCAAAACAGCTGGTTAGTGCAGATTGTTTCCTGGTAGCCATTGAGCCTCTCTTAGCCCAGTTTAAAATACAGACATTTTGTTTTTTTTCTTTTAGATGGGTGCTAGTGTGCAGTGGGGCCTATAAAGCAAAATTAGAACCTTTCCAATCAAAACTTCTGAATGCAATTAGTGGAGTGGGAACACATCTTATATAGCAGCAAAAGTAAGACTCTAAGGCTGGTGAGAATTGAGCTAGGAAAAACAGCATGCAGAACTTGTTTGAGTATCCAAGAGATATGACAAGAAAGTGGGTGACTTAGCTCACCAGACTTCGTCTACATAGGTAATCTTCAAAGCTGGCACTTTAAGTATTCCAAAAAGCAGTGGTAGATTGCTAATGCTACACCATACATATACATCTAAAGTACCGTATATACTCGAGTATAAGCCGTCTCGAATATAAGCCGAGGTACCTAATTTGACCAAAAAAAAACTGGGAAAAAGTATTGACCCGAATATAAGCCGAGGGTGGGAAATGAGGCAGCTACTGGTAGATAGATACCAATAAAATTACATTAATATTTATTTAAAAGAAAAATAACCTAGCTCTGTAAGTGGAAAAGGGGGTACAGGGCTACATATCATGTACTACGGATCATTTAACCCATTCATATTAGCAGAGGATAATTGTAAATCTATTGTTCAGTGCACTCTATATGTAGTATATAGTACATGTACATATAGAGTGCCTGCAACAATACATTTACAATGATCCTCTGCTAACATGAATGGGTTAAATGATCCCTAGTACAGGGCTACATACAGATAATTTAATCCATTCATGTTAGTATAATTGTAAATGTATTGTCTGCACTGTATTAGCAGTATATACTCTATATAGAGTATATACTGCTAATACAGTGCAGACAATACATTTACAATTATACTAACATGAATGGATTAAATTATCTGTATGTAGCCCTGTACTAGGGATCATTTAACCCATTCATGTTAGCAGAGGATCATTGTAAATGTATTGTTGCAGGCACTCTATATGTACATGTACTATATACTACATATAGAGTGCACTGAACAATAGATTTACAATTATCCTCTGCTAATATGAATGGGTTAAATGATCCGTAGTACATGATATGTAGCCCTGTACCCCCTTTTCCACTTACAGAGCTAGGTTATTTTTCTTTTAAATAAATATTAATGTAATTTTATTGGTATCTATCTACCAGTAGCTGCCTCATTTCCCACCCTCGGCTTATATTCGGGTCAATACTTTTTCCCAGTTTTTTTTTGGTCAAATTAGGTACCTCGGCTTATATTCGAGACGGCTTATACTCGAGTATATACGGTATTTATTTTTTTGGAATTCCAATAACATTTACGATGCAATCAAAGATTAACATAGCTGCAACCAGTCACAGTTAGGTCCTTACTTAAATTGCCGAAGGATGACTCCTAAGCTCAGAGGACCTATGAGGTCCCACAGTTCTTTTTATGGCAACAGCTCAACTTCAAGTTTATAATACACTCTTTCACAGTTCATGTGTGTGCATAACAGCATTAAATAGCAAAGTCTTGTAGTTCTTTTCATTCCTATTAACCAAGGCCTCTGTTATTTAAGGCTATTATGCACACTCATGCACAAACGCAGGCAGTTGACAAGACAACAATTGTCAGGCCTCAAGAGACCAATTGATTTGAGAATCATCCTCAAAGGAACTAGCTAAAGTAACCATCCTAAATAACTGGTCATATATAAAAACTTCCACAGGTAAATACAGGAAAAGCAACAGAATGTGTTTATTGACCCTTCCCCGAGCAGCATATACTCACCTTTCCCTTGCCCCAGCCCAGTTATCTAAGCAGCGAGAGAGGTGTTCAACCAAGTGGTTGCTTTAAGACTAAATATTCAAATTCTTCTTGCCCCAAAGGAAATTAGTTCTCTTCAAAAACAAGAGAACAAACGCATGCTTTTTGCAAAACTAGAATGCTTGTGAAATTCGTAAAGTGAACTTTCTACATTTATTTTGACAATGAAAATACTAACTTGTGAAAACCAGGTTACTCTGACAAGACAGTTTTGGAAAGCTATAAGCGGTCAAAATCTGTTTGAGGAGAATGCTGGTTATAATGCCTCAAGCTTGGTAAATGTGTCAATGTTAAGGCTAATCTTTTAGATTTACAGGTCAGTGACTCTCATATACACATTTCCCAATAAAAAAAAATCTCCTTTTCTGAACACTTAAAGCCACACACTGAGCAAAACAATAATTTACACGCCGCACTGGAGGAGGAGAGGAGGGAGCGGGGATGTGACATCATGTCTTCTCCTCCAACCATTCACAAAGACATTTTGTGACTGGAGGACAGTGAGCAGGAGCGGGTGATGTGATCGGAGTGCGCTCCCTCTCTTCAGTGCCTGGAAGCTGGGCATTGTGTGTAGAAGACAGCATGTTGCAAGGTAAGATTTTTATATTTTGAGGCAGCCCTATGCACATAGCACCCAGTTTCTTAATAATAATATACACACCCAGTGCGGTCATCACCTCACCTGGAGTGTGGCTTTAAGCCTCCGTATTAGAAACTAAAGCAATAAAAAGCTGACAGGGGTCCTAGTCTTCCAATTGCGTACTAATAATAAAAAAACCTTTTTCCTACTTCATGTCTATTGAAAACGTTGCCATGGGAATAGTAAATGTTAAGATCTCTCTCTAATGGTGCACTGAATAGCATGAAAAAGGTGTTAATCCTTTCTTGTTCCATCAAAAACTAAAATAAAAGTTACAACACCCACACAGGCCCAGGCAAATGCAACATATTCACCGTGACCTAATGATAACCAGTTTGAGAGTTGAAAAACATTAAAATAAGGGGTAAGCAGTGCCACTGATTTGAATGGCTGCATTAGCAATTATTTTGAACGGGTGTCAAATCTAGTCAGACTATACATATGCGGAATGAAATACACAAGCAGACGTTACCGTCACTGAAACATTCTGCAGATCTAGTGATGTAGGTAGCATGTGTTGACTTTTCCTGTACACATGAGCTTATTCCCACGTGAATAATGATCTTATTCCCATGTGATGTGATTGGAAGTGCATCCTCATGAACCCATAAACTGTATGGAGTTGGCACTAAAAGTAACCATACTCACGGATTTTACAAATAAAAATTATTAAAAATACTACAAAGGATTCCCAGAGCGCCAGGGGTTAGCTATAAGACAGCACAGAAGTCACTGTCTACTTTGAGGCACAATTGGTCTGACTGAAACTTCAGACTGAGCCATCTGATAATGGTATGACTAGCAGTGGATGAGCCACTGCTAGTCATACATTTGAGTACATTTTAGCTTCGGCTATTGAGTGCCATAAACAACAGGCGATGTGTATGGGAAAGCAAATAAAAAGGAGTCCAATGCTCCACCTGCTGGTTCAGATGGAGAATACATAATATTAATATGCAATATTTTCCTGACAATAAAAGAATGATGCTATAAAATGTTAAACCTGACCATATTATATGAAGAAACATTTATACATTGTTGCATTAAATATAAAATCTACAGTTTGGTTCACCCAACAGGCCCTGGTGGGCATATTTAAGGTTTAGTATGGTGTGAATGTATTACCTGAAAGGCCTTTCTCCCCCTAGTGGTGAAGTTGCAGTACTCCAGCTTTTCCGGTAATCGTGTTCAACCCTCTTTTTCCTCAGAGGAGCAGGAAGGTATGAAGTCTGATTGCTCTTGTTGGGAAGGTACTGGTTAAAAGGCACTGTTGCTTTGTTGTCGCCAAAAGATACCCGTCGGGCAGACATGTCATCCTTCCTGACATCAGGTAATCTTCTGTGGGGTTGGTCTGATTCTGAGTCACTTCCTCTTCCTAAAAATTGATTTAAAAAAAAATCAGTATACAGTACAATACATTTTTAAAGTGGAATGCCAACCAGATTTCTCCTTATTTTTCGGGTAGTCACCAAGACAGGAAGTGAGGGGAAATCTCTTCAATGCACATGGTAAAAAAATAGCATTTTTCGGGATTAGTAGGATTAGAACCCATGTCATATTTTTTTTATATAATTTGTGTCTCTGCTGGGGTGTTTTCTCCTCACTTTATGTGTGGTCACTGGGACAGTAGTAAGGGAAAATCTACCCCACTCTATTTAAAATTAACATTCTAAACTCCATTTTTAACTAAAAAAAAAATCTAAGCCAAGAGTAAACACCGTAATGTGTCGCCCATTGCCATTACGATCTAAAAAAACCCAACATGTACTGTGTTATTTAGCTTCACTTTATTACTGGGGCCTGACTTCCCTGAGTTTATGGCTTAGCTTTACCAACCGCCAGTCCAATGTGAGTACCCTTACTGGTCACTAGGGCAGTCACAGCTTACATATGAAGTCGAACCACTTTAGCAAAGTGAGCTCTAAATGTGAAAGAGACACAGTTAAAGCTGACATTTAACCTTCCCTGGTTGCTCCTTTCCCCCCATCAACATGCTAATGAAATACAACCTGTTTTCATTGCATACCTTATAGTAAACCCATTGACATTACCACTAGAGGTTTCAGTGCCTCCCTATACAATACAGGAACGGCACCACAGAGCGTGCTGTACATAGCTTCTTGATTTCAGGAAGCTGTTATGTTCACATGTGACGCTGAGCCTCCATGATTGAAAGCAACTAAATCCAATGAATGAAATGGGTGGGCCAGAGGCAGTGAGACTGGGGAGAAAATGGTTAGATGTTGCCCAATGTCCTCCAGCTAGGAAATGAGACAGGCTCTACCTGTCTTGCTGCAACTTCTAATGCACACAAGAAAAAGCTCACAGTGTGCAGTAAAATCAAAGTAATCAATTTCAGTCCAGGAGAGGAACTTGTACAACTGTGCAAGCCTGAAAGTAAGGCTGGAGTTCAGCTTTAAAGATAACGAAGGGCATCTTGTGATGTTGGCTCTTACGCGGGACTTCTATTTTTCAAATATTAAAAGAGTACAGACGCGCATTAAATTATTGCAAAGACTTCTAAAAAAAATAAAAGAAAACAACTAAATACATATGGGAACTTTATTCCACAGACGTGTGCTTAAAATCTACTTAAAGTGGTAAAGGTTTACAACCTCTTCTTTCTGCATCCTTATTGGGGAGATTTCCTGTGTTGTGCCCAGGACAGGATTTGAAGGAAATCCCCCATAGGGGGACAGAAGCAACACTAAAAACATGACATGTCTGACTCCACAAAGAATAGTGCTCATAGGGCTGTCCTGGTCTCTGTTGGCGATATTCTGTCCCATTGATAAGGAAAATAAAATAAGGAGAATGAGAGGAAATTATGTGAAATCACCCCAGAGACACATACAATAATATACGAATTTGATATGGACCTCAGCTCTTCCCCGGTCTACACAAAGCAAAAAGAAAACAGTTGGCTGCAGGTACGCTTTAAACTGTAAAATAAATTAACTTTCAAATTTGTTGACAAGCAGGAATTAGTTATAATAAAGGTTTAAGCCCTTTGCCTCCCTAGTGCTTTCATTGGATGCAGGTTTTTAAAGTTCCACCCACTTGACGCTCATCTGTGATTTAGAACAATGAAGACAACGCTCCTCAACTACTAGTGAAAAGCAAATAAAATACAGATTATTGTGTTGAAGATACAAACACCAATGGAGCTTGCCAGTGGAATCTTCTCACAAAGTCAAATTCATAACAGACTTCAAGTAATTTGCCAAAGTTTAAAACTGTACTTGCTAAAGCTGTCAGCCCTTCCAGTTCCTGCTCTGCGTATTTGGAGCAGGCGATAGGCATAAGAGCCTGCTAAATATTTCATTATGTTTTGAGAAAATGTCAACATTGAAACTCAACTCTTGTGTGGGCAGATTTATAGTAAAACCACTTCACCCTGCTTTGTTTCCATGCTAGGTATCCTAGCAAGCCTTCCTGCCAAGCATCAGTCCTCTATCTACACACATATAAATATATACTGTATATATATATATACACACACAGGGTTTATTTCCTCCACTTGTTTGTTTTCTGAAAAGTGTAGAGTTGAAGGCAATGGATTTAATAATGAGAATACAACATTCTCTAAACATTTGGTAAGATTGGCCAAAGCCTAACATATTTTACAGTAATTATCTGAATTTGGAGTTAAATTGACACTAAACTCAGAAGTTAACACTAAACTCAAGGTGGTCTTTTCCATCCCTGCATTAAAGTAGAACAGGAAGCCAAAACTTTTTTTTTTTAAAGTTTTAAATAGAGTACGGGAGGGTTATAATCCCATCCGTTTTTGTCTCATTTGGGAGATTTCCCTTCACTTCCTGTCCAATAGCCCCTGTCCAATAGCCACAACAGAAAATGGAAGGAATTCCCTCCAAAGAACGGGAATTTCGCTGTTGGATCAGCAGGGTCACCAGAACTAGTGCCCCCATTGGAAGATTTCCCATCTATTCCTGTTGATAACCCAAAATTTGAGATTTTATTTCACTTTCAGCTATAGCGGTCACGCCCCCAATGGGGGCACAAACAACAATAAAAACCTGAAAGGTGTTTTAACCCCTCTCCACTCTATCCAAAACTAAAAAAAGGTCTTGGCTTCAGTTGCACTTTAAGCTTACTGAAAATGAACAAGATCAAGAACTTTTGTATGAGATAATGAGATATGAGGGACCATATTGAGATTTTTCACTAGGGTCCCACAGCTTTATTGGACTAGGTTATGCCCTGCGTGTCTATTTTGTGAATGCAGCATGACTAATGCTTCATCCTGGAATTAATAATGTGTTTTCTACATGTGTGAGTGCACCAGCCAGGTTATGGAAAAAGGCAGCTGGATAATCTCTTGTTCACCCAAGGCCGATGTCAGGTTCTAGATTTGATTTACCATTTACAGCTGTAGGTAAGCAGCTGTCTCGTCTAGTACACATTGCATAGTGGAGGTACTGCTACATCCCACTGGAGGTGAGGTGGTCATCTCCAAGGCTGCTACTCTGCTGCCCCACCACCTAACAAGCTTTTAGGATGGTGAAGTAGTGTATATAAGTAAAGGGAGTGCAAAAAAAAAAGGAGCGAGTGGCAAATGCCCCAGATGAGGTTTACAAAAAGTAACTGATGCATACTGTATATTTTATCACAAGGTGAAAAATCAACCTTTAGGTGAATATCCTGCCACCCCCATGATGTCCTGTGGATATGAACAGGTTAAAAACACCCAACATTGTCCATTATTAGCTCCATTTACTGTTTTTTTTCCACATTTATGCCAGTGGAATGTTTCATCATTTACTGTACCTAGGCAAGCACGCTAAAATTTGAGCACTTGAAGAAACTGCCCACACTTTGCAGCAATGGTTTTCCTCTTTTACTTCAACAGGGAACACTGCACAACACATTTTATTCAGCCTGGTGGTAGGAGTGATCTCCATAGGACCTTTGTGGTGTATTAGCTTTACAGCAGGGCTGCACTAGCCCATGCTGTGCTACTAAACCTGTCCTTCCCTCAAATGTCCCTGAATAAAAAAACTAGTTTTCAGCAGCTGGACTGTGTTTGGAAGTGGAGATTGTGAAACTGCACTTTTTTGTTGTTGATCCTTTTGAATATATGCGCAGAGATTTTTCCACCTGCAGAAAATCATCAGATTCCTAAATCAAAACATTTTTGGAATCCTAAACTGTGTGACTCTCCACAGATCAGCCAAATGGAAACATTTAGATGAATCAAAAACTGACGAAGACCTGATGAAATAAACCTTTCAACCTTTAATGATCACATTTAAGAAGAAGGCGATTGCATACATAGGATGATTTCTCAATTGATGCAAGTTTCAGATCCACTGATGGTTACACATTGGGCATTACATAAGTGACACAGTACTGACCAATATTTCAGAGCATCAAAAATCTGCAGCATCAATAACAGAATCCTTCCAGGGGTCAATATAATGTACCAGCTGCTGAGAGAATTGTGTGCCAAAGGAGACAATGCCATGGAAACCATCCTTTCGTTCAAAAGGTGTTCAGCAGGAAATGGAAGATTTGCTATTAAATGCAGCTTACCAGAAAATATATATGTGGAATTCTTGACATCAGCAAAGATGCAATGCTAAAGGATGACTAGAGACTATCGATGGATAATAATTTCTATGACTTAAAGGGGACCTATGGTCAAAAATTACAAATAAATATATATTTGTATACTGAATTTCCATGAGTTTTGTCCTTCTACCAATAACCATACCAAAGTCTGTAGACTTACTTATTGAAGATGCCTATAAGATGGACTTCCTCAATGCACTGACAGAATTTCACTCAGCCCTATGAATATGCACTTTTGTGTCAAAACTCTCACACCGCCTGCCTTCTCAGCTAAAGCTCAACATCTGAACAATGTAACATCATCATTGCTTCCTGGAAGAAATGCATGATGGGATATGTAGCCATGAGAATTGAAGGTTGTATCATATCATGTAGCATGGAAAGAGATGCAAAGCACACTGGGAATCAGGAAGTTGGTGAAAGTGATGAGCAGATGGAAGGCAGCACTCACTACATAAAAGGGATTTATTCCAGTGAGTTTTGCTTGCATTATCAAAAGCAACTCTAGTATGTGATCTATTTACAATGCTGATGATATAACAGGATAGTATATGCTGGGACTTCAGAACTCCATTCTAAAGTCTTCAAATATTGATTTTTTTAAATCCTGACCAGAATCAACAAGAAAATATGTGAAACATCACAATATACTGTATTTCTAATACATCTAAGGGTATACGTCGATGTACACTTATGTAGCTGAGAAATACACTGCCTGGCCAAAAAAAAGGTCACCAGCTGGTTTTCAGGGAGTGTTATGGCCAGGTGTTTCCATCAATGGATTTTTTCTTCCATGATGGCTGGGCATATTCCAAGATGCCAGGATTCAATGGGATCAGATTGTATAAGAATAGTTCAGGAAGAATGAGACATCATTTGCACACATGGATTGGCCATCACAGAGTCCAGACCTTAACCCCACTGAGAATCTTTGTGATGTGCTGGAGAAGACTTTACACAGAGGTCCGACTCTACCACCATCACTACAAGATCTTGGTGAAAAATGAATGCAAATCTGGCCGGAAATAAATGTGACATTGTATAAGCTTATTAAAACTGCCACAGTGAATGCGTGCCGCAATCAAAGCTAAAGGGGGTCCAAATAAATATTACCGTATATGCCGGCGTATAAGACGGGTTTTTAGACCCAAAAACACTGCCCGAAAATCGGGGGTCGTCTTATACGCCGGGTATACTTCGGTATACTGTATGTAGCTTCGGCTACATACAGTATCCCGCGCTGAGCCAATCACGGCAGGCTTTGTATTCATTAATACAGGCTTTGTATTAATGAATACAAAGCCTGCCGTGATTGGCTCAGCGCGGTATACTGTATGTAGCTTCGGCTACATACAGTATCCCGCGCTGAGCCAATCACGGCAGGCTTTGTATTCATTAATACAGGCTTTGTATTAATGAATACAAAGCCTGCCGTGATTGGCTCAGCGCGGTATACTGTATGTAGCTTCGGCTACATACAGTATCCCGCGCTGAGCCAATCACGGCAGGCTTTGTATTCATTAATACAGGCTTTGTATTAATGAATACAAAGCCTGCCGTGATTGGCTCAGCGCGGGATACTGTATGTAGCCGAAGCTACATACAGTATACCGAAGTATACCCGGCGTATAAGACGACCCCCTACTTTTTGTGTTAAAATATAGGTTTTGGGCTATACTCGTCTTATACGACGAGTATAGCCCAAAATAATGTTTAAATGTACCCAGTAACATCCATGGCGGTATTCTCGAGTGTGGCTCGGGGGTACCACTTATGGTACTGAAAATAAACCCCGAGCCACACTCGAGAATACCGCCATGGATGTTACTGGGTACATTTAAACATTATTTTGGGCTATACTCGTCTTATACGACGAGTATAGCCCAAAACCTATATTTTAACACAAAAAGTAGGGGGTCGTCTTATACACCGGCAAATACGGTATGACTTTTTTTTATGGCCACGCAGTGTATTTGGAGAATAAGAAAATATCACTTCATTCCTCACACTGACAACAATGTTCATGTATGTAGAATATAAGTACAAACGAGCAAAAAAACAAATTTTACAGCTATGCAGACTTCAAACCAAGTTGAAGATGTAGTATGTAGGACACGTGAAACATACATGTGCTTAGGGAGTGTTTATACAAACTGTAACTTACAGCGTTAGAAGTCTCATTTGCCTGCTGTTCTCTACAGCTTCTATTGTTACGATCAATCAACATGCTCTGTTTCAAACATACTGCTGTTCTGACATAATGTACAATGAATGCCATTTAGTTGTAATTTATATACTGGAAGTAAAAGACTGACAGGTTAACTAAACTGAACCCTGGGGAAGAAAACAGACATTTACATTTACAACCGAAAAGCAACAAGTTGTTACCTTTGTTCAGAAAGCTCCATTTACCTGATCCCTTTACAGAAGTCATATGTAAAATGGGTACAGCTTAATGGTATGGAGATAGGATTTATGTATATACATAGGCAGGGCGAAATCTGAACAGGGGGTGGGGCTTAACATATGCATTTCCAGTTTACAAAAAAAAATCATATATAAAAGCATATAGGCCCTACCTTTCATACCTGTCACATCTGCAGCATATTGTCATGTCCAATGCCACTTCATAAATGCTTTACTTTAATGCCATACCAGAATAGTAAGAAATGTGTGGCTTTTTTCAAATACATTAAATGCCTCATGAGTGCATGTAATCCCTTGCACTTATGTTAAAGTCAAACATTTAAAGTTATTTCAAATGCTTAAGTCACTTACAATGGATGCTGCTTCTTCTTGTTTAAAAGTTTTAGTTTCCTGCAGAATCAGCTGGTCCTCTGAGCACTGGGCCTGATATCCTGTTTTAGGGTGACTCCTTTCCCTTTGCAAGGTCCTATGGAGCCATGCTTGTGTGTGCTAGTAAGCTGTGTGTTGCTCCACAAACACACCGACACAGCAAGGCAAGTCACTCCCCTGCTCCCTTCTCCTCCTTCCTCCCTTCTCTATGATAGTAGACAGACAGATGGTGCAGACGGTTCTGTCCCTTGTAATTTTGTACTGGACAGGAAGTTCAGGGAAGCCAAGCTGAGAGAGTTGGAGTCAGCTGCATGGAAACATGATGACTAAGTGTTTGGGCAAAAATTTAAAGAAGTACTTTACTGGACAATGTGTATTTGTTTGATCTGGATTCATTATTGAAAACGTTTGTGAGATTACTACTACTTTAATGCCCAACATTAGTTTTGAGATGTCTGGCTGAATACAGACAGGCTTTCCTCTTCAGATATGGGTGTTTAATGTTCATTAAGTAATTTTAGGGTGAAACTCACCCTTAATTAATAGAGCAACAGTAATCATATGTTTACATACAAATAATATCTGTACTGAATATTCTTTTTTTTTTTATATTAAGTGCAAGGAAAGGCTACACAATAACCCACCTCCCTGTTGCTCTGATACTCCTTGCATACATCTTCTTATAAACCATTTTTTCTAAAGTTTTTCTATGCAGTCACATGACTGCCCTTTCTCTAAGTCCTTTCTCTGTGGCTGCTGGGTTTGAACACTATCCTGACTGCCAAAGTCTTCGAGCCATGGACGCCGGCAGGTGAGGTCACTGCTTTACAGGATCAGCAAGAACTCCGCATTGTTGCGGGCCCTCCACAGACACACAGACTATGTGGAGCTAGTTATTGTGTAGCCATTAAAGCTAAAATCTGGGCAAACTTAAACATTGATATGAGATATTTGACCCACCAAAGCATCTGTGTTCTGACCTTCCAGTTCTGAGATTTGAAAAGGTCTGCCACAACACTGTGTAGCAGAGGAGGAGACCTTTCTTTGCTGCAGTTTCACTGTCACTTACAGATCCCCTGCCTACGCTGTGACTGGAGAGTGAAAGGAGAAGCAGCAATCTGATGTCATCTCTCTGTCACTCTTCTTTCTTCCAGTCAGCATGGCTCCCAGTACTGCAGCACACCTGACTTCTTGTGCTGCTTTTTCCTCGTCCTCTCTTTTGAGTGCTGCTCTATGGTACATTGCTGCATTTAAAAAGTATATTTTCTGATGTAACAATGATTACAGAGCTGCATTCATTTGTGTTCCTGGAGTCCAGCTTTAAGTGACCTGATTTTCATGGATGACAAAAACTGCATGCAGGGTTAGAGACTAACAAACTACGAGCTTTGAAACACATGCGTTCTCTAGAACAGAACACAGCTGGACTTCATTACGTCAACCACCCATAGTAGCAAAAAACAGACTGTGTTCGGGATTCCTGCCATACAAAGTTGCACAGGGTGAAGAATCCCTCTGAAGGAGACCTGTGAAACAATTCTACTAAAGAACTGTAAGGGGCAGTCATTTATATTGGACCAAATGATTATGTTCACATTTCAACTCTTGCGTATATCCTAGAGCAGCATAAAAGCCAGCCACATTGTAAAGACAGGCTGGAAGAGGTGTAGCTGTTACTTACCATCGCTGCTCCCTCTCAGCACCACATCTGGAGATGGCGTTTGTTGTGAGCGAGAACCAAATGAATCCAGGCTGTCAAAGGAATCGTCTCTGCCGTGTCTCGGTGGGGACAGAGAATCGCTTCTCTCAGAGTCCCAGCAGTCTATGTAGCCGCTGTCACGAATACTTCTTTTAGGGCTCTCCACTTCCTCGGTTTCCTAAAAGCAAAAATGCAGAAATATGAAGAGCCTCATAGAAGCCTTGCATTACAGTATTCTAAACCAGATTAAAACCCTGAAAACAAGGGCATGCTCTGTTTTAAAAAGGTGATCCCAGCAGAGGAATATTATTTGGCCACAAAAAGATGTGTGCCTACAGGCTTCAGTGATGAAAATACGGGGCTGTATTGTATTATAAAATAAAAGTCCCACATGAACAATTGGGCAGAAAAAAGGAACAGTGGGCCAACAAAGGAAATGGGAATAGATAAGAATTGTGGTAGGGATTCCTAACACAACACAACCATGTTAACAGTTACAAACACACTTACTGTTAAGCTGCAAAGGGACCTCAAAAGGGCAGAAAGGGGCTCTCTGTGGGTAGAGTGGATGTTAGATTGTTTACTAGGAAGAAACCAAGCACACCCTTTCACTGCTGAACCTCTGGACCTCTTTGCAGAGGTGATTGATCCCAGTATGGATACTCGAGTTGTGCCATGTAATATGTCCTATGACCAGTGGCGTAACAATAGCCATAGCGACCCAGGCGGCCGCTATGGGGATGAGCGGGCCCGACGGCGGAGGAGGGAAGAAGGAAGAAGAGGCGGACAGGTAAGGAGTGTGACCAGTCCACCTGAGGGTGACCCTGCAGAGCCCACCATAGATAGTCTATGGTGGGCTTTGCAGGGTCACACTCAGGTGGGCTATGTGGGCTCTTCAAGGGGTATAACTAGAAATCACAGGGCCCCATACAGAATTTTGCTATGGGGCCTTGTGATTTCTAGTTACGCCCCTGCCTATGACACCAAGTTTTAAGGTAGAGTGAATGGAATAAAAAGAGGGAGAAATGGCAAGGAAATAGTCAGCAGTGCTTGCAGGTCCACCAAACAGTGGTTGCCCTGTGTCCATGACTTCAATAGAAACTTTTTTGGGGAAAATCCTTAAAGTATAATTTACAGTAGCGCTGCAGAATATTTTTTAATATTAATTGTTATCTAGTGAGCTTTATGGCAAGATTCTCTTTGAGAAATGGTATTCTCCAAGGTTCCCACCCAGGACTCTGCAACCAGGATTCTGAGAAGTTAACTGTGCTTTACTGTTTGGAATACAGTGGTGAAGGGTTAGAACTCCTGTTAGATCTTTATTGTGGTCTGTGTCTCTACTTGGGAGATTTACTTTTTATATTTGTATTGGTGACCACTATCACCAGGACTAAAACTGAATTAAAATAAAAAAAAAAATATGAGTTGTCATCAGAAAGAGGAGAAATCTTCAGATGGGAGAATTTTTCACCATGACAACTGCCCAAGAGAGGACTTCCCACACTTTGGAAATCATTCTTTTCACTTCCTGTTGTAAAGGACAGAAAGTGAAGGAAAATCTCTGCAATGCAACACAGATGGAAACGAAAAGCTGACAAGGATTTTAACCAATACATGACCAAAAATTAAAAGAAAAGGTCTTGGCTTTAGGTGCACTTTAAAAAAATTTAAAATACATTTTAGCCAGCATGCACCAGCAGTAAAATACCTTATGTATTGTATGTCCCTCCAGCCGAAAAAACTCCTGTATTTTCCTAGCATCTACATTCTAATCCTCTGTCTGACAAGTGCAAAGCAGTGCACACTCCCACGTTATGCCAAATGCTGAACAGTGTACACCTAGAGTCTGGCTGGTGTACTTGCGTGGGATCTTCCGCATCCACAGGTTGGCCTATAAGTGCAGAAAGGAAGTGGCGGCTGCAGGTGACATTTCCTATTACATGGAGTTAGTGGCTAGAAGTGAAGCGGTAGACAGAGCAGGGAGGTGCACAGAGGGAACAATAACAAAACAGGAAGTTTTTTTGCCAGAAATACCCTGCATCAATCTACACTAAACAAAGGGGCTTTTAGTATACTTCATAAGATATTTGTTCCATTTGCACTTTGAAACAATTTAGAATAATATACTGCTAAATAAAGCAATACGGAATTAAGATGAGTTAGATGCCTGCATAAAATTAAATACGTCAGCCCTGTGCCAGCTCATAACTGCAGGGGATCGAAGGCGCTCTTAGCTGACCCACACATATTGAAACCAAGAACAATGGTTGCCTTTGACTGCCCAGCACTGCTAAATTTTTCCCAGGGCAGCCAGTACTCAGCCAAGTGGTGAAATCCAGAGAAGGAAAGGTCAGTGAAAGACATCCACATTCTTATAGAATAAAACCCTTGTTGACTACAGCATCACTTAGACAATAACACAGACAAGAAAACACAATAAGGACACATCTAGTGACCTACAATAGTAAAAACAGAGTTCTTAATAGAGTTGCCACTGCAAAAAGAGAAAGATTTCTAGCAAGATAGAGGCAAGAAATTTAGAAAAGAACTGCTGTCTAAACAATAATCTATACTTGGACTGCAGAGGAGGAGCTGGTCAAATTTATAAATATTATCGTTTATAAAATCCATTAGGAGACAATCATTGCAGTAGATCAAAATGTGTTAAGTACTGTTGAAGCTGTGCCCAAAAAAGCAGGCAGAGGGCAAATGTCTAGTCGCCAGTATTGCCTATGGCACCCTTGCTTCTGATCTTTTCCCCATTACTGACCTTCCATGCCTTGTTCTGCACTGTCTGTGTGTTAAGTGATCATCTTGGAAGAAGCAGAGCTTTGCTTCTTGAAGTCAGGGCTTCCCTCCATCCCGCTCGATAATAGTTGGTCTAATGACTTGTGGGGGAATATTCAAGAAACAGGAAAGGTGCAGAAAGCACAGATCCACAGGATGGAGAGAGCAGGGAGATCCTTGCACTGTAGGTCCTCAGGTACAGCTTACTCTCCAGGAGCGAGAACAGTGAATGGCACAGCAGGGACATCACCAAATCTCACTCCAAATGCTGTGACATTACCAGTCCCAGGCAGCAGTGACTTAAATGATCTCACACTGCACATACAGACCTATGAGGCTTTAGCCAGGAAGTGCACTGCCTTTTTCCAGAAAAAAATTAAAGACAAAAGGTAGCCCTTTATGGATACTACTTGGACACAATTACTATTTCTAAATGTTACCTATAAGGGCTCATCCACACAGGCGTGCACATCTGTATGGCGCCTGTCTGCATCCAAGTGTGGGCACCAAGTCTGCGTGCAGGCCCATGCAGCTGTGTCCTCTCATAGGGAGATACAGGCGGCTGCATGCAATTACACACAGCACCTGTCTCTCTCGGCTGCAGGTCTCTGCACAGGTGTGCATGGCAAACAAATGTGCACACCCATGTGAATGAGGCCTCAGATAGCAAATCTTCACTTTTTAAGTTCAGGTCCACTTTAACTTTAGAAAATGCATATGATTTGAAAAACATACAGCTCAATTTACAGCAAGTTTACAGCAAGTTTATAGCGGTGTCAATGTGGCATATTTCAGAAAACTACAGAAGTCTGAAGTTCTTATTGTATGTTTAATAATGTATCAAACAGAAAAGGCAGAATACTGCTAAGGAATCAATCGCATGTGGTATAAAGAGTGTGCCATATGAAAAAAAAATGTCTTTTTAAAAAGGGCTGGAGTTTATCGAATGTGAATATGTTATTATGATATACAGTTTAGTTAGTGTTTAGTATACTGTAGTTCTTCTTTAAGCTGACCAAGCACAAAGACTGAACTGCCCAACCCTTTAGAAAGTCATGAAACTTTTGTTAAAAAGCAGAGTTCTTTAAGTTTACTGAGCTCCGATCCCTTCACATGCTTATTTGTTTTAGAAGAGTATCGGGATCATTCCATCATTCCGGGATCAAGAGTACATTCCACTGAGAAGAGCCCTATCAACAGCTTTTCATAGATCTCCTCAACTCTGTTCCAATTGTTATGTCAAAAGTGTTTTCTTAGCAAGCATATCTGAAATATCCAACCATGACAGGAAAATGATTGTGTATGATAAATCTTGTACAGTCTATCAATAGGAGCGAGCAGACAATTATAACATTGAGATAAAGATGGAAATTTAAGAACATTCTGTTAGAATATAACTTCTAGTACTATAAACAAATACAATAAAGAAATGTATTACGGGTATACACAGATGTCTTTCCCCACTTATTTCAGATCAGGTTTACAGGCAAGCAATGGTTGCTCAAAATTCCAAAGACGGCAGTGAGCTAAAGGCAATGACTCCCTTCGCCTGCTCTATGCATGGACTAAGTAAAGTTCATAGACCAAGGTCTTGATTTCTGCTTCAGGGACTGGAAGCAAAAGCAGTGTTTAGGCAAGTACAGTAATACCTTGGTTTACAAGTAACTTGGTTTGAGAGCGTTTTGCAAGACAAGCAAACATTTCTGAAAAAGTTTGCCTTGATATACAAGCAATGTCTTGCAATAAGAGCAAAATTTTGTAGAAAAGCGCCACCCAAATAAGGCTGTAGCAGTGCGAGCGATGAGTCTGTTTAACGACAACACAATGTCACATTGGATAGATTCCTTGTTAAGGTTTCACAAAATGAAAAAGATTACATCGAGTCAAGAGATAGCAGTGATTCCGTTAGTGATGGTGAAAGTCGTCCTGCACAATAATCCCCCTCTCTCTTGTCCCCCTCACCCCAGCCACAAAGGTACCGGTAATTGGTTTATTTTTCTTTATATTTTATACAGTATTATATTACAGTACAGTATTGTAATCATTTTATATGACTACTTTTGGGTTGTGGAACGAATCATCTGAATTTCCATTATTTCCTATGGGGAAATTCGCTTTGATATACAAGCGCTTTGGATTACAAGCATGCTTCCGGAACGAATTATGCTCTTAAACCAAGGTATTACTGTATTGGAAAATCAATAAGCAAAAACTGCAGAGACGCTCAAATAAAACACACATTTCCTATTTTAATTGCTTGAAAAATAATGGCTTATTTGGTTACAGTTTCTTTTTAAAGTGCAACCCTGCCAAATCGATATCTCCATTCTTAGGTGGAGCTTGGCAGGGTATAAGGCTCTTACTAAATGTATTTGGCTATGCTCTGCCCTAACAGAAAGATTCTCCCACCTTCTCCCCATCCCTGCCATAGTTTGACTTACTTGAACTTAGCTTTCCAGATAGAATATGAGAAACTCAAAGAAACAACTTATGGTTTGGGTCAGTTGGTCCTTTACCAACTTGGTTAATATGTACTTATGGGCTCTGGAACAGAACAGAACGACAGCTGAAGGAAATAGAGGGTGGTGTGAGAGTGATGCACAGAAATACATAGATTGCAGAGGGCCCTTGTGCAGAGAAACTATACCATCCCCCACTAGGTGGACACTGATCATTGTTGCTTTAGACACTGTACATGCATACTTATACTTTCTTACCATGATGCCACTTGGGTAAAGCATGTCCACTCTAGAACTCGCAGGGAACATGCAAGATGTTGTTGCTACAAGCATAACTGCAAAGTCTGTCTGTCTTCAGTGCCAAATTTCAGCATACCACACCACTCTTAATCCATAACTACAACTAAGTATCCATACTGAGACCTAGGCACTCTGCAGAGGGCCAGATATTCAGAGGTGGAAGAGAGGGCCCTGCTCCATCTATACCCTTTCTCTGGGATTAAATATTGTAAATCTTCTATATTGTTAAAGGAGAACTATGAGGTGAGTGATTTTCAACCTCATAATTTGAGCTGACGTGTGACAATAAAACTGTCACACGTCGGCTCAATAGATCGGGAAGTGAGCGAACACATACCGTCGCTAGCTCACTTCTCGATCCTGTCCATGACTGTCACTCACGGCTCCCTGCAGGGACTCCTCCCCGCTCCGATCCTCCAGCGCTCACTGGAGGAACGAATGGGGGAGGGGGCGGGTACAGCTGGCTCTGCATCTAGATGTCCCTATCTAGATAGGCAGAGCCAGCTGTCAATCACGCAGCTGGGTGGATCTCGACAGTAATGTCTGGATCCGTCCCGGCTGCGGCGGTCTCAGAATTTGGGTCCCGGGAGGACGCTAGTTTATGTCCTCCCGTGACCCTGAGGAAAACTATGGGGAAAAACACTTACCCCATAGTTCTCCTTTAAGTTCCAAAGTGCTATAATCTTCTTCTCGAATTAACTATATGCGGCCCATAGTAGTCATAAGGCCTCATTAAAGATTTGGTCCTCTCAGTGCTGTTTTATCTGGGTTTGACATGCCTGATATAGAGCATACCACCCTTGCTCGATGGTCTCCTTTTCCTGTTGTGTCCCTGTGCAGATACACAGGCAGCATGTCTACCCCCTGGATTGGAGCCCATCTCAATTTAAAAGGGTCTATAAGTCTAATAATCTTTATTATTGCCTGCAAATGATTCTTATTAAATGTTATGGCCCAATAAAATAATATATTCATCACGGTGGGGTTCACATTATCATGACCAATGGGTTAGCCTATTTTTTTGGAATCTGAGGCTCACACAGAAAAGTAATTTCCCCTTATGAAAACACATGTTAGCAATGGTATAAAAAGTCTAACCCCTGCTGATAACTATGCTATATTTTATTTTCCAGACTGACAACACTGGCCATGTGCTTGATCAGTAATTTCAAGTTCTCACTATGCAAAAGATTTTCTTTTGGCTTCTTGTTATGTCATAAAATATATAAAAACCATACCTTCCTCATTTGTGCCAGCAAGCCTTCAAACTCTTTCAGGTCCAGGTGATTTCCGCTGTATGACGCACAGCTGTTTGTCGCTTTTCCCAGCCAATAAACAGTGACGAGTACCTGCAGCAATAAATAGTATTTCAGTGCAAACAGAAAGCTGGATCACAAAAATACAAAGCCATATGAACTGGAGAACATCAGCAACTGGCCAAGAGAAAAAACTCTAATACAGTTTCACACCATTGTCTGGCACTTTGAAACATGTCCAGAGCAATGACATGTTGCCAGCGATAAAACATAAAACATTACTGGGTTCGACCATGAGAATTGCTGGCTATAGCCCTATTTTAGCTTATCATTCCATTATGTGCTGCACATGTATAGTAACTGGGCTAAGACAGATCACATTCACATACCTGATACCAAACAGGAAGGGCTGGAGTAAGTGTATGGTTCGAAGTCAAAGTCATCTCTCAGACATGCCTGAGATTAGATAGGCTGACTCTTAGTGGAAGACAACTTTTCAACACCTCTCTTACTAATGTATCTAGTTTAGTTGCCACCGCCCAGGCATAGGCAAAGGACCCATTTGACATTGTTATACTGCTGACTGGATCCTATGGACAACATTCTATTCTTTTGTGTAATTTTATGCATTGAATTCCTAAAAGTTGTATGACAATTTCATCACGTAGGAATGGCAATGCTTCACATGCATACAATATGAAATTAGTGGATGGAGCCCTGAACTTATGGAGTACATTTATATGGAAACGCATACAAGTAATATGTCTCTATGAAAAGACAAATTCCATACATTCACTTAAAAAGGAGCTCAACTTATTATGGAAATTGTTTTAAAACAAAATCTAATGATTCTATGATTAACATCCCTTGCTAGAATACCTAGTATATTACAAAGGTGTCTGGCATACTGTATATCTTAAGACCTTCAATAGCACAGGAGAAATGTAAAAGAGGTTTTTTTTTTTAACACACAAAATCACGTCACCATCTAACAGTCTCTAGCTATGGAATTATACACTCACCGGCCACTTTATTAGGTACACCTGTTCAATTGCTTGGTAACACAAATTGCTAATCAGCCAATCACATGGCAGCAACTCAATGTATTTAGGCATCTAGACGTGGTGAAGAAGACTTGCTAAAGTTTAAACCGAGCATCAGAATGGGGAAGAAAAGGGCATGATGGCTGGTGCCAGACGGGCTGTTCTGAGTATTTCAAAAACTACTGATCTACTGGGATTTTCACATTCAACCATCTCTCGGGTTTACAGAGAATGTTCCGAAAAAGTGAAAATATCCAGTGAGCGGCAGTTGTGTGGATGACAATGCCTTGTTGAGGTCAGAGGTCTATCATCTCTGGTTGAGGTCAGAGGTCTATCATCTCTGGTTTCAGATGATAGAAAGGCAACAGTAACTTAAATAACCACTTGTTACATCCAAGGCATGCAGAATACCATCTCTGAACACAATTCTTGAAGCAGATGGGCTACAGCAGCAGAAGACCACACTGGGTGCCACTCCTGTCAGCTAAGAACAGGAAACAGAAGCTACAATTTGCAGGGGCTCACCAAAATTGGACAATACTGTAGAAGATTGGAAAAACATTGCCTGGTCTGATGAGTCTCGATTTCAGCTGCGATATTTGGATGGTCGGGTCAGATTTTGGAGCAAACAACATGAAAGCATGGATCCAACCTGCCTTGTATCAACGGTTCAGGCTGGTGGTGTAATGGTGTGGGGATATTTTCTTGGCACACTTTGGGCCCGTGATGCTGTCATGTCAATATGGACCAAAATCCCTGAGGAATGTTTCCAACACCACGAAGAATTAAGGCAGTTCTGATGGCAAAAGGGGGTCCGGTGAGTGTAGTTCACCTTTTTACAGCATGAAGTGCAAATAAAATGAAAATCTGTACATCTCTTTAATACATAGGCATTCTCTATGTTTTATTTCTTTAAAATGCTGCAAGTAATAATACCTGTTGATCTGCCTGAAATCCAATGTGCTCATAATTTCCTGCTTGAGGGAAAAAAAAGAAGTTCCTTTAAAGCTCTCCTCCTCTTAATAACATAAAGGGAAGATGTTCTCTCCAGAACGGAGATGTCAGGCAGGGCTGACAACACCAGTTAGGATTTCAGCTGAGCAGAGGCACATTGTTGTCAGTTCAAACAGGAAGTTACATGTGCACTGGATTTTGGCAGAACAGGTATTTTTCTGTACTTGCAACTTTTTCAAAAAGAGTCAAAACCTGGGGAAATGTGCGTGTATTGCAGACATGTACTGAATATTTTTTGTCCAGACATATACTTTAACAATACAGTACACTAAATACTAAAATATACAAATACTAAGGAACAGCAAATGTAAGAAGGCCAAATGCCACTGATTTATCTTCAGGTACAAAGGTTCTAACATAATTTTAAAGAGTATGTACATGGTAGCTCTAATAGAATAGGCTGTGAGAAAGTTACTCACCATGACTCAAACATTCCCCAGACCTCCCCTTTACTCAACATTTCTTCAGTAAAGCATTATGGCTACTAGAATACTGTGGGTCTTTACCAGTAAAATAACTTTTGTCATCTAAAAGTGTATGCATCTGTGTAGGGAGACATATTGATACTAGGAGTCTATATACAGTATGCAGAGGCGGCTCAAGACTTTGTGAGGCCTTAGCCGAAACTTAAAAATGAGGCCCCACTCACAACCATAATGGAAAATTTATGGATATGTGGGGTTTTAAGGGGCTGTGGGTCTCAGGAAGCTGTGGTTTTTGTTTTGTTTTTTAACTTTTTACATTTGTTTATATTTTTCATTTTAGTTTATTTAACTTTATTTTTTTGCATTTTTACTTTTTATTTAATTAACTTTTTTATTGTTTTGTATTTTTCATTTTAGTTTATTTAACTTTTTTTATTTTTAGTTTATTTAACTTTATTTTTTTAAACTTTTTTCATTTTTTTGTATTTTTCATTTTAGTTTATTTAACCTTGTTTTTTTGCATTTTTACCTTGCGGGGGTGGAGGGGTGAGTAGACGGGACGGGAGCTCATAGACTGTCAGCGATTTCTCCTTACAGTCTGTAATCGGCTGCAGTGATCTGTGTCAGAGGGGACAGATGTCCAATTACAGACTGTAAGGAGAAATCGCTGACAGCCTGTGAGTCTGCAGTGGGGAGACTTATCTGCGGGGAAAGTCCTAAAATTTATCCGCCCTTCGGAGGTGACAGGAGTCCCTAATGCTGCTGTGCGCACATCATGATGAGATGTTCAGAGGCTGCGATGCACTCTTGGATGTGACAGGGCTCCTAATGCTGCCTGCGCACAGCAGCGCTAAGGTCCCCTGTAATGTATCAGGCAAATTAGGCGGCCGCGAGGCCCTTAGGTGACCGCCTAATTTGCCTAATTAGAGAGCCGCCTCTGTCAGTATGTCTCGATGTCTGCTTCGAGAATTACGTCTTAGAATAATTATTACAACTACTTTTTGCAATGGATGACAATGATGTGTGGGGTATAGCTCAAATGGGGGATCACCTTCCCTGGGAAAAAGGCAGTCCAGGCAGCAAAATCCTTCGTTTATCTGACCTGCAGTCAGTGTTTTTATTTAAAAGGTTGCAATAAAACAAAATAAAACAGAAAACAAATCCTTTCCTTTCAGGCTCTGACTAAACAGACAGGTTTCCTCTCTACTAGGTGGTGAGCTTATCTCAGCCACCTCACAAAGCAAAAGGACTTTCAGCAACCTTCTACACACAACCATCCGCCTTGTAGCTCTCTCAGAATTCTCTCTGAGTCCCAGGCCAGAGCAACATCATGCTTCAGCCTTCCCCCTTTTATCTAACCTGGATAAGCAATCGTTAAGCATTTAATAATCCTGTTGAGAGACACAAAACCCGAGCTGGATTATTTAGACCCAAAGTCAACCTGAAAACCTGGTCTGGGTTCTGCTATTCCTGTAAATAGGAGAGAAAGCGAGGGGGAATATACCGCCCCTCAATGACTTCTCCTTTGCTTATGTCACAGATGGCATATGAGCCATTTCACAAGTCTGACATTTCCATATATCCTCCAACTGAAAGCTGACAATGGTCTCAGAGATCAACAAAATGTTTTAACAACTATGCAATAGGAGGGTCAGCTTTATAATTCATAAAATTCTATCTCATCGGATCAGCCCCCTGTACCACCAACATCCCCCACCCCACCCCCAACCTCTCTAATGCTATTACCATACTTAAATAAGAGCTTCCTCTTGACCCAACACCAGTCTTGCCCACACATGACACAATGTGGAAAATCCAGGGCATTACAGGGAAACCAGGAAGACAGTTCTTGCAGGATGCCGGTGTAGTGACTTTGTCAATTGGGCACTGAGCTCCATGCTACTTTATCTCAGAGATGTCAGAAATAGCATTAGCACTGCATATACGAGGAAGGATGAACCTGAAATCGTTTGGCAAAAACAAAACACAGCAATGCTTCCTTGGCTGCAGGAAGAATTTTAACTCATATACTGTGTAAGTAATAATGTTAACGCTATGTGCATGTATGACTACAGTTTCAATTTAATTATTTAAAGGCCAGAATCACACTGGGTAAGTGTTGTATAGTCAGCAAACAGAAGCAGACTTCCTCTTTACTGGAAGAAAGGAGTTAAGGTATTTGATCCCCATCATTCTACATGTGGACAACAGATGCCTCTGATTAAGAACACACACATACTATGTAAGAATCTAGGGATTACTAGGGTAATTGGTGGGCCGCTGAAAGCACAGGGGCCATGCCATATGAGAAATAGACAACTAAGATTCTCTATAAAAGAATGCATACCTGAAATGAAAGGTGCCGTGCTATTCAGACTCAATGGTGCCATACAGCGTAGGACAGACAGGCTCAAAGTGGAGGAATTTCACACAAGCTGACAATCTTAAACAGCTGTTGCAAAACTTACATCACTGAATAGTAATGGGTAGTTATTTATGCTGCATATTCTTCCAGAGAGCAAGATTTAACACTCAGGCAGCTATAGCAGCCTTTATTAACCAGGGTGCCCCACAGCACCCTGATGTGCCCTCTGGCTTCCTCAGGGGCGCC